TGAGAATAATGACTTTTTGAGATGTTTTTCATGAGTATTTAAAAACTGATGAGTAATATTTTATGCCATTTATGTTCTGAGTATTGCTTTGAGGTGTCAAAGCTAAAACTAACACTTAATTAGACTTGTAAATAGAATCGTAATATTAAACTGTTTTGTGTTGTAACGAGATGTCTTTCATTGGATAATTGATTGTATACTCATTTTTCATCATAATGCTTCTGATATCGAAGGTAAAACGGGATAGTCGCCGTTCGCACTTTAGGACACTAGTTCCTATGTAAATGGTATGAGAGACAAGAAAGTTAAGTTTGGCAGCGACCTTTTGAGACACCCTGTATTATTATAGCCTACTTTAATCATTCAGTCAGTTTTCAAGATCTAACTTTACTCCATCTTGCTTTAAATTCAGAGTATCGCATTTAAATTTCATGGCTGCAACATTGACGCATTATGCCTGATAAAGTTTATTTTAAGTATATTTCTGCTTAAGCAACGTTTACGATGCATTAATCGTAATTGCAAATGTTCCTGTAAAACAGAAAGATAAAATGCTATAATGTTTCTAACTACTTTATAAGTATGATAAACACATAGCGCATTTCTTTCTTAAATTTATTTATTTATTTATTTTTTAGAAATATGCAATCCTGCACTTTGAAGATGCAAAATGTTTCTATGTTATTAGCTTCAAAATCATTCAAGATGTATTTGTTTTTATTGTTTATTCATAAACTCATCTGCATTATCCCACGGCTGTTTCACCGTATTCAACTGTATCAAGTGAATCAGTTGAATGAGTAGCACTAGGTTATTCATTATATTAGGTTACGAAATGCCTAGTTGCGGAAAAATAGCTTGCCCGCGAAATTACCTATTTGGCAACAGAATTGGCAATATGCCATAGACGAAAGGAGAACTTCTTAGAAAGAATGCTTACCGGTTTCTTGAGAATGTTCTCGAAGGCAGGTTAAAAGCTGTACATACCCTGCTTGTACGTGGAAAGTATTGAGAGTATGTTGAGTTCAGTAGTAGTGTCTTGAGTTCAGATATTAGCTTGAGAGCGATCGACCGAGTCAATTATTTTTGGTTTGGTTTGTGTGATTATGACAAAGTCTCGAGGGCTATCTCTCTAAGAGGAAAGATTCCTCCGTGTAGAACTTTCTAAGGGAAACTGGCTCGTATACACGTTACACATGGGGAAAACTACGAAACCGCCCACGCAGCCGGCCCGAACTACAAGTGTTCAGCGGTTTTACCGCTGGCCCTCTGATGTGCACCGACCGAGTCTGAAGTGTTTTACCGCTAAGCTGTCTTCACCTTTATAAGCCTGATAGCCTGAAGGCTGTGTTGCTGATTGTTTTAGCGTATTTAGCGTAGTGTTTCGACGGTTGTAAAGACAACACAGTATACACGTAAAACATGTTAACAAATGTTAATTCTAAGAATTTTTTATTTTGAAGACATAAACATTTTAATATCGTTGAAAATTTTGTAAAAAGGCAATAAATAAAGACAATAAATTAAAAAAGACATTATTTTAAGAATTTACTATGCTTTCATGGTACAACATCCCGATTCGCCGATTCATATCACCTGACCCTAAGTGATCTCATCTTACGTAAACTACGCTACAAGAATCTAATTCTGTTAGTAATTATCTACATTAATTTCCTGTTAAATTGTAATTTGGAATACAAGTTTATGCAAGAATTATTTCAATTCGTACGGATAGCTTACTCAGAAATTATGTAAAACCGCAGTGCTTTACTTATTAGTACATTCTCATTAGACTTGATGAGTTTAACCCTTTGCCTTTTCTATGTTTTAGCCTTCGGGTGAGCAGTGTGATTGAATTCTAATTGACTTAAGTACCGAGAATGGCCTTAGAGTATAAAATTGAACTATCTAGTAAAAGTTCTATGTAATTACATGCCAGTATTGAAAGAAGCAATCAATCTGCTAAGAAATGGCTGCAACTTATTTTGAAAAAGAGGCGTAAAAAGTTACCAGCGAGGACATTCCGTTTGGCATCGGTTGTACCATTTTTGGCGGCTTTATCGCCTGCGCCGGCAAAATGGAAAAGTACCGATAATTTTTATGAGCCAGAGGCTGTGATTTACTAAGTGTTCTGGGCAGGTAAAATCAAACCATTGCTATATAATGGGTATCTTTACATAGAATGGGGCAGTATTAATAACACATTTCTTTTTTTTATATTTTGAATTAAATCATTTTCTTTTAGTCCGCGAAAATAACTCTTTTTGCCCAAAATTTCCGATTTGTGTACTATTCCATTCTGATTATAGGCATACTGACATTTCTGAAACATAAAAAATTGCTATTAGATTCTGGGCTTTAAATTTTAAATATCTTAACATCTGCAAAATTTTATTGCGCGTGTATGCATTGAGCTGACAATTTTGAATTAAAGGCGACCGCTTGCAATAACCTGAAAAGTAGGAATCCGCTGTCATGTCTTCGATTGACAGTCAACAAATTGAAATTTTAGTATTTACGGCTTAAAAATGCAATAAATCATTTATAGTGGGGTGGTATCATAAACGAGTCTTATATTTTGCTGAGATAAGAGTAATTTCACAAATATATAAAAATCCATATTCTATGGAAAAACGATTTTTTTTTTGGGGGGGCTTAACGTTTCTTAATTCTTATAGCATTTGAGGAATCTTTCTAGTTGGTACTAAAATTAAGACGTTTCGACGGCTGTCGAATAAACATATTTAATGTCTTTGGTCGGGATCGAGAGTGGTATTATTTGAGATTTATTATGATTGTCAGCGCCAATATTTATTTGTGGTTTCAGAAAATACTGGCCATGTTTCGAGAAGAGGTGATTGCTACAAGAGGATTCTCTCTAGATGTCAGTAAAATGAGTCATCAATCTTTGGTTTTTAAAACACAGAAAGTTGTTTGTTTTAAATGTTTCGGATGTGAAAAGCATAACATCGCACTAAGCTTAATTTACTGATGATTTTTAAAATAATGCAATTTAAAGGCTAAACAGTAACATGAAACTTCTGGTTAACATAACAAACTTTGGCACGTACTAGCACCTGAATTCGACTCAAGGTAAAATTATACAAGTTTTGAATGATGGTTAAGGGAATATTACACAGCTGTCCATTGAGAAACTTGCAAATTTCTGTAGAGATGCTGGTAATGGGTATGAAAACCTGACTTAATTGTTTATAAAAGAGAACAGTTTTTTAATGTTTTTGTTCTTCATACCATGATTGGATTGGCATAGCAACTATTAAAAATCTTCATTGTAAAAAATGGTATCCTTTGTAAGAAACAAAATCTGCATCGTGGAAGTTTCGAAGTAGCTTTTGACAATCACTTTATTTTTAAGGGTTTGAAATAAAGGTCAACGAAAACTACGAGAAAGCTTTCTAGACCGTGGCAGATTCGCTTTCAAGGCTGACAGTTGGTACGAAACAAACCAGATTACATTTAATTTCTTTATATATTCTCCATACGCATACGTATATCTTTCGGCCTACCACCGGCCGAATAGTAAAGTCGCTGATCACTGGTAGTTCGGTCACGGGGAAAAAGAATTCTTTTTTATAGAATCCCGGGAAAAACAACGGGTTGCGTGGGGGTTTTCGTGAGTTTCCTCATAGGTTAATAAATACAGTAATTCCAATAATTCGTTCTCGAACTCCGTTCATCACCCAAAACAATTTTCCTCATGTAAAATGTTCTTCATTAGCTGTTAATATATTTATTTGAATTGCAAAGCTTAACCAACAAAAATGTCTTACAGTTTTTTAACTTTGGTTTTCAGATAAAAAGATAAACATAAATTTGAATTTTTTTCCCTTTGAGATATTATTATTATTATTATTATTTATGTATGCCTTGATAAATATTTAGTAAGCGAGATTTAAATTATTTTTTATTTTGTTAATAAAATTTTTCATTTTGTTTAAAAAAAGGGGGTCATATTCTGGCCCTTCAACTGTATTTAGATCGTGCATTTGGCCTGCATGCAATTTGAGTTTGAGATCACTGGTGTAATGCATAACATAGTCGTGTAAAACAGCAAAAAATGAACTTAATAATTTTACATATTTTTTATTCCTATATTTGTGGCTTCCTATGAATTTACATTTCATTCAGTTTACAAATTAGAAGTGACAGTAAAAACTTCATTTTCGTTTCATGATGGGTGTCACTAGTTTAACAACTAGCGGTTTTACAGAATGAAAAACAAATTACATACTCTGAAAATTTTAAATTATTTTGCAAATTTTTTTACATCCTATTATAAAAACAAATAAAACAACTTCTCCTTTTATAAATTACTTTATAAAGAACATTTTATAAAAATTTTTCTTATTTATAATATAAAACAGAAAATTAAAATTGTAACAAACATTAGGAATACCGGAAGCATTACAATTCTTGTATGGATATGGAGACCGTAAAAAAATGATTTTCTTACATTTAGTACTTTTATGTTCTTCATTATATAGGTATTTATTTTCTGGTGCCTTTACTGTTATAAAGTCATTTTAAATGTAACATATTTTCAAAACAGTAAAATACAGAAGGAAATGTACATTGAAATGATATGAATGCCACAATGATATAATATTTGAATATTTCAAATGAGGAACGTTGAAGGTTATAAAATGTGAATTTTAGTACTATTTAATTTAATCGGATAGATTTAATTATTTAAAGAAGACTCTCAATAAAGAAGAATACTGATATCAAAAACCAGTACAATTAAATAAATTATTGTCGTTGAGAATACGTGATATAGTGCTAAGTATATACAAATAGGCAGAGTTAGGAAAATTCATTTTGTTTTTGGTTGTTACCTCAATACAATTTTATTTTCGAGAAAAATCACAAAGTTTTAATTTTCTACAAGGAAGCAGTAAGATTAAATTAAAATTTGATATCTTATTTTTTCATTTTAATTATGAATTGTGAAAAAATTAGATTTTTCATTGTCATGATTATTTACAGATGTTTTATTATGTAATCTTAGCTTTAAAAATTAAATTATAAGTTAAATGTAATTAAAATAATATAAATCATATAAATTTAAATTGTAAATAAATACTTAAGTTTTAATTATATGTACTAAAAATAAGAGGAATGTGTTATTAATTAAATTTTACAATGCTTAATAGACTTATTTTAACAGAGACATAATTTCACCTTCCCCCTTATTAGTTTATTGAATTTTGAGTAATAGTTTATGATGATTTATTTCCTGCTAAATTAAATACAAAGATGTAATTATTTAAAATAATTTATAAAATATGAATTCTGTTACATAGCTTTAAAGGTCTCATACATGAAAAAATAATAAATAGCTTATACCCATACCGTAACTTAAATTCACATTTTACTTCTTAATTTCTTATTAACTTCTCATTAGCATATATTTAAAAGATGAACCTTTTTTTCATGAATATAAACATTTTCTCATTAATATTAAATAGACATTTTTTCCCATAAACATAAATTTAAAAGCCCTATTGTTTTGAAATACCGGTATTCCTTTCTTAAAAGTTAAAACCCATGATAATGAGAAGTAAAAAATAAGCTGTTATTTTTAAATTTTACTTTTTCATTGATGGGAAGTAAAAAATGGCTATTGTATTGAGCACTGCAGTGGTAAACAAAATGCCTTTCAAGCTGACAAAGAGTCACTTGATTCTATAGGATAAAGAAAAAGAAAATCACAGACTTTATGAGTAATGATCACCCATTTCCATGCTCAATGTTGTATTTTAGGTGGAGCAGTACAGGGGACTACACTAGTACACAAACAATTGATTACACTTGCATTCAAAGAAGCATTACAGTTCCGCAATTGTACTCTCATTTTTAAATGAACATCCAATTCATTTCCATGTTCTCACATGGGTTGCCATTGTACTACATAACGAGCTATTGTCGCCATTCTCGTATCTGAAGATTACTTGCCACCATTAAATGTCCTAAAAATCACAGAAGCAGAAGATAAAATCACTGTTGACTTTCACACAGAGCATTTCACGGGTAGAACATTTACTCAGAATGTTGGCATCTCTTGACGCTATATATTTATAGAAAGCCAGTCCAAATGTTATCGTTCTGGTCTTTGCTTACTTCTTGGAAATGAATAATTTCTTACTGTTTACACTGAAAATTAAAAGCAATACTTGACACTCCATTGTTTGAGATTTTATCGCATTTACACAATGGGCGATGAGTCTTTGATTTTTTGGGATAATTAAAAATGCGATTGTGTGTAGACAGTTTAATACGATCTACAAGAGTTTATGAAATTAAATGTTTGAAGTACTTTCATTTGTGCCCATAATCTGTACCCGTGATGCAATGAAACGTGAGCATTGATGGCACCATCAGAAATGCAGAACCAGCACAGCACCGTCATAAGTGCAGAAACCACCGTAAGATTATCCTTCGAAAGTTCAGACAGTTTTTCCATGTTGAATCATTATACAGTCGTGAACAATATTTTCAGTCATTATGAACTGGCTGATATAAGCAGAAGTTTGCTCAAGTAAGTTGTTAACCGAAGCTCCTATTACATTTTGTCGTTTATTTGTACAGAAGTTCTGAGGAATTCTTTGCATATTCGTAGCATTTTATTCAACTCGTCTTTATTTACTCTTAAGAAGTTGTTGTAACTTCTAACAGAACAGCCCTGTGTTTCCGATATGAGCCTGTTACCCGGGAGAACAGTTCACATAATTTGACAATTGCAGTCTCTGAACAAAAGCCTGCTAAATACGACAATTTCTTGTGCAACGTGGCCGACGAGTGCAAACTAGCAGGGCAGCATTTCAAAGCAAAGCTGTTCGCTTCCTATGTCGAAACTTCTCAGAGACTATCTATCATTCAGGTTTGAAGCTGTTGACAAGTCCACCGGAGGTCAGAGTTGAGGGGCATAGCCGAGGTTCTTCCGTTGAAGGAACAAATGTATTTCCCGAAAGTTCGGTCTGTCTGCCTCGTTTCGTTGCCAACACTCTCTCATTAAATCGTAAATTTCTCGTGGGCAGTTAGATGGTTGAGGTAAAGGCCTGTGCTGGTTATCACCGTGGTACAAGTGTCCAATATTCTCGATTACTTGTTCGTCGGTCAATTCAGAGAAAGGCTGGTGTCGAGCAAAGGTTAGTATTTCCCACATGGTGACAGCAAAAGCCCAGACGTCGCTCTTTGTTGTGAATTTACCCTAGGAAAAAGGAAAAAAAAGTACTTTGTAAATATACCATGTTTAGAAAGATGAAAACTTTAAAATTAAACGTAAATTACTGGCCTTAGTCTAAATGTTTTCATCAGCTGTCATATGCAAGAAAATCCAAAATAGCTGAATAATTATACAGCATATAATTTCATTAGCTAATATAAACATTTCTTAAAGGAGGTGTACTGAAGTCATATTTAACTTCACGAGAACGTTCCATTTGCTTCCAGAGCCGTGTCTGAGTGGCACGAATATTTGCGCCTCGACGGCAGATAATAATTTAGAGACAAAATTGTTACTCCATATTCAAATATTGTTCTATATATGATTAAAAAAAATTCTTGGAACATTCTTGAGGATATTAAAAATTATAGGAACTTAAATAGTTAATTTATAATTTCATTTTATTTTTTGAATCGAGATATTTCCTAAAAATCTTGGGGGGGGGGTAATTATTGAAGAACAAGGAAGCAATGTAAGAAGAAATTGAAAGAAATTTTGTGAAAATACAGAAATGCTGCTACAATGGAAGTTTTAATAGATGCCTGAAATAAAAAGGCAAAATACATAATTAAGTAACTTATGCCGCTAACTGATCTGAAGAATAATTTATATTATTTTTTTATAATATTTATTAACATGACAAAGTAGTGAAATATATGTTTCAATGTTTTAGTGAAATATAACGGGGGGGGGTGAAAGAAGAATGAAAGAAGAAATTAGTTTTGAATTTAAAGAGATAAATAAAATTAATACAAACAGTTATAATATAAAGTGCATTTGTCTAATTTTATAAGCCTTTATTATTGGTAAAGAAATATTATCTTCTTAACTTCTAAGAGTTGTTATAAATGCACCTACATCAACTTTTGGCGATAAAGTAAGACTTCTGTGGTTACAACTAAAAATTAACGAAATAAAGTTAAATTTTTTTTCTGGTAAACTGTCAAAACTGTGACTTGAAGGAAAAGAAATACAGAATTTATATATTATTTGAAAAGAAAAAAAAACTATTTACATAATTCGAAGTTTTAATCATTTTCTGCTTGTATAGAAAGCATCCAGAAGATAAAAAATAAGTGAATTCGTAATACATTAATGGCAAAATAAATGAGATAATTTGTTTAATTAGTTTCTCGAGACAAATTTCATTCACTTGTTTAGCAGCTGATAAGAGATTAAGGAAACTTTCAGGCAAAAAAATGAATTAAATTATAAGAAATACCTGTAAAACGCTGCGTAATATGCCGTATATATTGAAAGGGAAATATAACAATAGCGCCATTTTTTGAATAATAGTTAAAACAAGGGCGAATGAGCTGCTCAAAGACGAAAAGAGGCATCGTTAACCAGATCGAGAAGCTTTTTATGTATATAAAACCTACATGAAATTCATCAATAGAAGAAATATATTGAATTGCTGAAAATACTCAGTTTTGAAATCAGTGAAATAAATTTAGAATAAAGATATCATAAAACATGATAAAAAAACCTCATATAGCTGAAATTATGGGCGCGTATTATTTGAAAAACATTTACAGTATATCTGAAATTTTTTCTTAAATAAAAATATATTGAAAACTGACCAGTACCTGAGGATCGACAAAGTTTTTTGTAACAACTGTTATATTTGTGACAAACTAATTACATTTGCATGGGAATACAAATATTAAATTAGAATTATTAAAAACCTTTTTCTCCTTTAGCCATGCTTGTAATAAATGACTACTTTTGTAATGGAATTTAATATAATGATCGCGAACAAGCTCCTCTCAGCATTATGACCGGCTTTATCCGGTCACAGTCACCCGGTTTAGAAGTTTTGCAACTTGGCCTATATTAGTTTATAATTTAAAATATTTTGCTTTCTTACTTTCTTTAATAATGTAAATATCATCTTAATGAATGTAAGTTTATGAAAATACAGACTAAAATAAGTAATTATACAAACTCAATTAATAAATGCTGTTTAAATACCGGTCTTCATGACGGATCGCCCACCAGCGGCCGAGCGGTAAAGTCGCTGAACACTCGTAGTTCGGTCCAAGGTTCGAATTCCGCAAACGGGCTGGCTGCATGGGCGTTTTCGTGGTTACGAGCCAGTTTCCCTTTGAAAGTCCTCCACGAAGGCATCCCTGCCCTTAGGTAGATAGCCCTAGAGTGCTTTGCCATAATTAAATAAACCAAACCAAATCATGACGGATCTAAAATCCTGCGCCGCTCAGAGGACTAAAGCCAGCAGAATGAATATTAAAAAAACTTAATCTTTTGAAACGAAAGATAAAAATCGAATGGGATTCCAAAGGAAAAATACAAGATTAGAAATGAGAAAAATAAATGGAAATCATTTAATAAAATTAAAGTTATTCCATTATTATATAACCAAAATATTTATCCCTTTTGAAACCTCCGAAAATCAATAAAATATCATTAATAAGAAAAAATCTATAATATTAAAAAAATATAGACAGATTAGATAAATATTGTAATATTTCAAAAAAGTATTCAATTCATGAAATTATTAAAAAATTAATAAACATTAATAAAAATGGTAGGATTAATTGGGAAGATACTACAAGTATTTAAAGAAAGAGTTTTTATAGAGATAATTTCTTTTATAAAAATATTAGATGATAAGTGCAGAAAATCAGTATGCTTAGAAATGTAATTTGTTTTAATCATAAAGTTTACTTTGAAAGTGATACAGATGAAATAATATGTAAAAGAACTAGATTTGTTAGGAATTACTTTTAATGTTATTATATGAAAAATATAAATATTTTGAGCTTCTAAGTTGCCTACATGAATTAAACAAGTTAATCGATTCCGTAAAAAATGATGAAATTAGAAAAAAAGTCTAAAATTTCTAAACGAAGCTTTCAGGAGGAAGCTGATTTTTGAACAAAATCTTTATATATATATAAAAAAAAAAGTAATACATCATATCATATAAAAATATATCATAAAAATAGTGATACAATCATATCGAAATTAGGTGTTAATGATATAGACGATGGATAAAGAGATTTCCGAAGATGGAAAGTATAATATTATCGAAAATGGAAGGTATTATTATGATGGTTCATTTATTTTCAGAGGTTTGAAAAAAAAAAAAAAAAAAAAAAAAAACCTTTGACTACATAATAATGGAATAACTTTAATTTTATTAAATGATTTCCATTAATTTTTTCATTCTTAATATTACATTTTCATTCTTTTGAACGTCATAGTGGCCCAGTTCAATCGTATCGATTGGTGTCAAATAATCGAAAAATATGGAGCGATCTTCGAGAGTTTGCCAAAAAATCAGAAATTATGTTATAAATTTTATCCAAATTTACTTAATTTAAAAAAAAAACCGAGAGTTTAAGTTTGTTTTTATTAAAGAAAGATACGTGCGAAAAATCGTTTCAACATGAGTTTAAAAAATTCTAAATGGACTTTAAAACAAAAAAATCGCTTCACCGCGTTATATGCCATTCACAAACACTGTGTATACAAAATTTGAGCTCCATAGGTTATTAAGAAGAAGTTTAAAAATCTTCTGATCGTAACGACAAACACCATTAAACGAACTAAAATATTATATATGTGATATTGTAGTTTTGGCGCCGTGAACTTTTAGAAGAACAATAAAATCTTTGGATAATCATAATATATCTTTATTATTTGATGATTATGCTGTTCAAGCATCATATTGAGGACAATTTGCTTCCCCAAACTTTTAAGTATGCACTCATATTGCATTTTTAAACAACAGAAAGAGAAGACGAAGCGAGAGATGTGGTACACTCAAGCAGCAGCAGGCGGAAAAAAAAAAAAAAAAAAAAAAAAAAAAAAAAAAAAAAAAAAAGAAAGGATGCATAACTAACTGCGGTCGTATATATAAGCCTGAAAATTTTTGTTTTAAAATCCTGAGCAACGACTGGGCTAAGGATTTCGCGGTGCAAAAGAAACTGCAGGGAAAGAATGACTAACCATGATACAGAATGACGCAAACTGGTTTAAAGCGCATTTGAAGAGGGAATGAGTTAAAATTTATGAATTTGAAAGTCTGTTCCTAATCAGCTCCAATTAAGCTTAATAATTTTGTTTTATATTTTATATTTTACACACACACTCATATATATAAAGATATTTTTTACTTTCTTACCAAAAGTATGCTTTCCCAAGCCATCCAGCGTATTGGCAGAACTGCTCGACCTTGAATTCTATAGTAATCAGTGCTGTATAAACTCCTACTCATGCCGAAGTCAGCAATTTTAATGACATGGGAACGGCCTACTAGACAATTTCTTGTTGCTAGGTCCCTGTGTACAAAATTTAACGATTCCAAGTACTTCATTCCCGATGCAATTTGAGTGGCCATATAAATCAGGCAGCCGTAACTGAAAGAAAATATACAAGTAGGAATTACGGTAACAATTTTTTTTGTCAATAATGGAAAAATTATTACAAAATAGCAGTAAAGTTTTGGAATAGAACTGAATACAATATTATTTGGATTTATATCAAGAAATTCCGGTTCAAGTTTTCAAATATGATCAGTCAGTTATAACTCTGTTTATATTAATTATAACAGAACTCAGGGAAGGGAGACTACCTATTTTTTCTTATGATTATCGAGCTTATCCTTACGAGTTTAGGGCGTTTTTTGCATGAATTAGATGTACGAAGTTAGACATACACAAAGGGACAGATAGACACATCAGGAATTCGGAAAATTGCCCGAGGTGCAATTGGACACAGCGCCTATTTGCAATGGTGTAAAAAACTGTTAAACATTAATCATAACTGTAGACTTCATGCAGTAAAAAGCTGTAAATTAATGGAAAAATATGTAATGACACCCTAAAAGAATTGAAAGATATACTAATGGTAATCGTATTAAATTCACAGTACTAACCCTAACGTGGATGATCGTTGGATCCAACTCTTTATTCCATTGCATCAAAGGGAAAAATTATCACGTCCTGCCACCCGACATTTTCATAAATATAAAGATGCCGGCACCTTTATGCAAGTCGGTGTCGTTCGTTGAGATAAAGACATTACTATGGCAGTCTATTTTATTGGCAGTTTGATGAATGTTGCTCCTTCATGATACAGACTGAATTTCATTAAGGGTTCTGGCCATATTTTTGCCTTTATGCCAGGGTACAATTGCTTCTTGACGAACAATGTATAACTTGCAAAACGGTGTAACATCTTTATGCAAGTTGCCTGCACCGGTTAGATCAACTCATCCTCCTCTTCACAGTGACAATATGTCAAGAAACGATATGACTTTGCTCATAATTGTTTGAGAAATATGTATGAATGTGATGAAAATTAAGTTTGGTGTGACGAGAAGGATTTCATCCTCCTAGAAATTTTCAAAACTATGGTTTTTTGCATGTTATCATTTCAAAGATTCAATTATAATTAAACCATGTTCTTCAAAGATATAGAATTACGAAGTAATGCATTATTATTTTAGAAACACAGCAGAATATTTAATGGAGTATACACTTCCGTTATAACATTTACGCAATTGACCAAGATTTAATGACAAAATTTTCAAATTTGACCATAGGGTAAATAATTAAGAAACATAATTTTTTTTGTTTACCAGTTAAAGCAGTTGAAGATAGATTAATATATATTAAAAATAAGTCTACAATGGAACAAATGTAAAACTGGAAGAAATCCGAAATTTCTGCAAGAACAATGCAGTTATTTACTCTTTTCCTACCATACTAAAATTCTACTAACAATAATTCTTTTTCGAAGGGGCCCACAAGCGGCCGAGCGGTAAAGTCGCTGAACACTGGTAGTTCGGTCCGAGGTTCGAATCCCGCGAACGGGCTGGCTGCATGGATGTTTTCGTGGTTTTCCCCATGTGTAACGTGTATACGAGCCAGTTTCCCTTAGAAAATGTCCTCCACGAAGGCATCCCTCGTCTTAGGCAGATAGCCCTAGTGTGCTTTGTCATAATTAAATACACCACACCACCTTTTCGAAGGTAATTGCTTTTCAGTGAAGTAGGATTTAGTTTTTCATTTATTATATAATACTGGTATTCCTCATTACCTGAGAGTTTTTGTGGCTGTACCACTTGGTCTGAAAGTCAGTGTGCCTGTCGTCTCCGGCGCGTGCTGTTGCAAATACTGGTTGAGATCACCATTTTCCATGTATTCGACAATCATACAAAGGGGTCCATCTCCTTGCGTGCATACCCCAAGTACATAAACGATGTTGGGGTCGCGGAGTTGTGATAGGATACGAACTTCCTTGAAGAAATCCGCTCGAGTTCCTGCACTGGCACCGGGTCGAACACTTTTTACTGCTACCAAAGTAGAGGAGTTGCCATGACAGGGAACATCTACCAGTTCCGGTATCCCCTCTGCTCTGCACAGATGAACCTGCAAGAAAGAACAAGAGTAAATTATAATAAAAAATTGGAAAAGAAATCAGTGATTAAAATGTCTGAAAGTTTTTTGGAAAGGCAGACGTTGAAGTTTGCATTGAAACCTGAAGACCAGTCCGCCGAAAGATCCTTCCGAATACCGCTGCGACAACGACTACTGAAAGTAAAACTAAACACTATCGAATACCTTCGATAGTCGTGTTTTCTAAAGTAAACAGAAAGTCAAAATCATCTGCAATAGTTGGTATTCGTCTTTCATTCAAACGAATAAAAGAAATAATTTTTTTTTAAAATTCTATAACGTACAATGTTTGCATAATAAAAGCAACAAAACAATTTTATTTATATTATTTAAAATGAACTTGTTTTAAAAATATAGAAAAGGAGTCATCAAAGAGTCACCCACCTCGCCAAATTGTCCTTCTCCGAGTTTTTCTAAATAGTGCAGCTTATGTCTGGGAACTTCCCGTACTGGTGGCAAGAGTTCCTCGTCAACATTTGGAGCCGCATAGACAGTGTTCCCACTAACACCCTGGATATTCGGAAGCTCCAGTAATGCCGTAGCCGCATAATGTCGTTCAGGACCTGCAGCCCGAGAAAATGAGGAGGTTTTTGTTGATGAAGTTGGCAGTGTTTTCTTGATTTCCGGTATTGCATATTCACGAGAGATTGCTGAGCCTGTAAAAAATATATGCAAGTTCACTTACCAGAGCCCTGAAATTTCGAGTATTTTTATAAGGTTTTTTGCAAGAGCATTGGAAATTCAGATTCCTTTTAGGTTATTTGTCAGAGCTTAGATAGTTTAGTAGTAGGCTTAGGCTTACTTAGAGCTTAAGTAGTTAGTCACTTGCTAGACCCCTAAAGTTCAATACTTTTATGAGATCATTATTCAGAGCACTAACACTCCAGATATCTTCATGAGGTCATTTGTCAGATTCCTGAACGTTAATTTATCTTCAGGAAGTTATTTAAAAGGGTCCTGACAATTTTTATACTTTTATAAGGTCATTTACAAGAGCTCTGCAAGTTCAGATACTTTTACAGGTTAAGTGCCAGAGCACTAATAGTTCAAATACCATCATATGGTGAATTGCCGAAACCCTAAATATTCAGGCACGTTTAAAAATTGCTTGCCAGAGCTCTGAAATTTCAGATACTTGAGTGAGGTTATTTGTCTGAGACTTGATAGTTCAGATGGGGTCACTTATCGCAGCAACAGTGATATTAACCTTAATTTATTAACAGCTTATAAAGGAAAAACGTTTTCTTAGTATGCCCGAATTCCGGTGATTTTTTTCAGGAAAATTAAAATTTCTTTAAGAGAGCACAATATTGTCTTAATCTAGGATGTTTTCAGCCGATGAAAACGGCCCTGGGTATTCATTTGTGGTTTGAGCATACTCTGTGCAGTTATCTTTATAAGAGATATGACACACTACCAGAAATTATGTTATTAAAATAAATTTGGAGGGAAAAGATCACACAGCTTCAACAACTGCTACGCATTTCCTCTCATTTAGTGTTGAGATATTATTACGTAAAGTATTTATTTTACACGTTTATAATAATAATGTGAATGCACATGTTTAGATATACTAAACTTATAACATTAAAAATAAAAATAATATCTTCAGCTAATCAAAGATTAAAAAAAAAAGATTAAATTATTTCAAAGAGTAACTCAAGAAAAGAAGAAAGATCAAAGAAGAAGATTAAACTAATTTAATGTTTGAACTTTTTGCATAGTTGTACATAGAAATAATGCTTCTAATTAAATCATATTAAGTGACTCACAAAGAAAATAAGCAAAAATGTTTTTCCTTATCATATTCGAAAAAAATTACGTTTAAGCTAATCTCAAAATGTTTCAAACATTAAGCATTTTTTAAATTATTTTTTAAAATTCAAGTTATTGATAATATATAGATACTGAAGACATCTTAATAATCTTTAAATAAGCTTTCATTGTTCAAAGCTATTTAATACAGCTTGTTATTAATGCAAACATTATAACATTAGTTAAAATTTTTTTGCCAAATGCAGTCGCAAGTCAGTGTAATGGTACGTAACGTTGAAGATTTTTCTTCACGAAATAACATTTATATTTGCTGGATATCCTTACCATTGCAATAGGCTCCACTATAATTAGCCTTCAAATCCTGTGGTTCTTGATATAGCAATTTGTCAGGATCATCTGCTGCCACTTGCCCATAGACTGAGCCATTGGATAGGTGACTTGGGCAAGAACTGAAGGTTAAGCCTAGATCCTGCAGAAAATTCATGTTAAAAGTTATACGCAGTAGGAGCAAGCAAAAATGAATTAACTATAACTTGCTAAAAGAATATGCCTCGAAAATTACATTTATTTTTCAGAGGATATTGAAATACGTGCAATATAGAATTCAAAACATAAGGATTAAAACTTTCTTATTGCATTAAAAATATTAATACGAAACGCAGGCCGTATTTGTGAAACAGAAGCAGAAATAATGCGAGAAAAATAAAAATCACTTATGGGAAAGATTTTTGAAATAACATTTAAAATCAGAAAAACATCTAATAGTATATACTAAGATAATGTACTTTTGGTTTTAAAAAAAAATCTAATTAATTTAAAATTTTGTTACAGGAAATAAAACTTTAACAGTAACTCGTTTTTAAATCAAGACTGTTTAATGAGAGTGGTTTTATTTTGGAAAGGAAATCCTTCTGCTCTTATTTAATTTGATTCCAAATGGTGTATTAAACATCAATCCTCTTTGAAATAAATGCAGTAATCCATAAAAATTTAATACATTATAAAGTATTTCTCCTGCCTTCATAGCATGCCTTCGTAGTGTAGTGGTCTGCACGCTGGGCGCGTATTTCAGAGGTCCGAGGTTCGATTCCAGGTGAAGGCGTTGCTCATTTTTCCCTTCTCCTGCTTCCAAAAAATACCTAATGTCTCTACAGTGGCGCCTGAACTAAAAGTGTGGTGGAAGATGATTCTCCACACCCGAGATTTGGCGATTGGGTCCTCTAAAAACCACAGTCACCCTTTAAAAGATGGAGTATATAAGGTATTTCTCTCGCCTTCTAGGCATGCCTTCGTGGTGTGGTGGTCTGCACACCACGAAGGTTCGTGGTTCTATTCCCGGCGAAGGCGTTACTCATTTTTCATCACTCTTGCTTTCAGAATACCTGAAGTTTCTACACTGGCGCCCGAACTAAAAAAGGTAGGATTTGGCTATTGGGTCCCCTAATTCCCAGTCGCCCTTTAAAAGGGGGAGCATATAAGGTATTTCTCCCGCCTTCTTAGCGTACCTTCGTGGTGAAGTGGTCTGCACGCTGGGCGCGTATTCCATAGATCTGTGGTTCGATTCCCGGGGAAGACATTGGTGATTTTTCATTTCTTCCTGCTTCCAATTAACCTAATGTCTCTACAACATGATTAAGATTAGTAATTCAATTATCTTAATATTATATCTGAAATATTTTGAATTTGTTGTTACTAAAACTGAGCTGCAAATTGCATAGCCATAAAATTAATTGTAATGAATTTTAATGTGATTTAAATATTTATCACACTGAAATTACTTATTAGAAATGTTTATCACGAAAACTAGCATTTAAAAAAATTTGGAATTTTGTTTTTAGGATATAATAGAAATAAATATCTCAGAAATTAAGAATATTACGATTTAAATAATATCTCAATGACAAAGTTAAAATTAGTCTTCGTTGAAGAATATGAAATTTCAGAACGGTTATTAAAGTAACTGCTGAAGCTAATAATTATATTAGTCAGCAATCGTGATACATTATATAATTGATAGATCGGAAGAAAATGAATAAATTTAAAAAATAAGATAGATATAATATTTTTTTATTTATGAAGTTACTCGGTTTTCCGAATTTAAGAAATAAATTAAATTTATAAACAAACCTTCATATTGATGGTGACTCTGTTTTCACCGGGCCTAAGCACGTTGTGCGGTGAAGTGTTTTTCCTCCTTTTATTCCTAGCTATGATAATGAAGATAACGACCACTAACAGAAGAATAACAGCTGCCAATACTCCTATAACCAAGCCTACGTACTGATTACCTAAGGCGTCCTCGTTTAGAGCAGTACTTACTGCAAGGAAGAAAAAACATAATGATTAATTAGAAATTCCAACATATTTAGATTTTTAATACATTTTATGCACGAGTATTACTTCATATGAATTAGTTGCTTTCCTTTTGAAAAAATTTATATGAATAATTTCGTAGTGATGGTTATTAGCTTCGGCCAAAATGTGGCAAGAGGTTCTATAAGGTGATTAGAATCAATCAATGCATTATTTTATAGAAAAACATATGGAGTTTGATTCGTGTAAAACCACAAACCATCAACGTACGAGCTCCTACAGCAGTCTGCATCTCAAAAGAATTAATTTTGTAAGTGTGGAAGGTACTCGTCATGTGTTTTGTGATTTGTAGAAATGAAATCTGCGAACCTCTAGCAGAGATGGCACCTTCATTAAACTTGACATTGAAACACTTTACTCTTGGTATCGGAAATTGAGATTGATAATAAGTTTATCATAGTAAATACCCAGAATGTCTATAGTTCCGATCTTGTTGTCTAACACAAGTTGTGTTGTGGTCTTGTTGTTCGATAGGCCTTATCGAATCCAAAAGACTTTGTGGGCCGTTTTGGAAATGCATTTTATTCTGGCGGGCAGCTCTGTATGTAAATATATATATAATATATATATAAGTTTTTTGAGGTGAAAATTTGAAACAGAATACATTATTATTAGCCCAAAGGAGTGTTAGTTCAGAAGGGCTATTAGTCTCGAAACGGCATTTTGCGTTGGTTCATTCTAAAGCAAGTTTCACTTTTCAAATTGTTGCCACGAAATATTATCACCCTGTATTATATTTAAAGAAATTTTATAATGAAGAATCTGCATGAATGTATGCATATTTTTCGACTGCGAAAGAAAAACGGCACCTAGAGCCATCACATTGTGAATAACGTAATCCTCCATCCAAATATGGGCACCTGGAAGCTCGAATTTGTTTTACTGTCTGCTTCATATTTTGTAAAATTTATTTATAAAACTTAAATTATTATTAAAACTACTTTATAACGAATTTTCGATTAACAAACTCAAAGATGTCTAAGCGAGAAATGGCAACAGTGTACGGAATTACACTTTTTTAACTCCAGCGAGCGAGACTCTATCGAAAATTCTAAAGATTTGTTGCTTTTAAATATTTTGCGATATTGCTATTGAATAGAATTTTATGTAGCGTAAGCCACAAGAACGTGAATCCCAAGAATAAGATATTTAATCAATAAAGTAAACATATAAACATTAATAATTAAAAGACAAAAAGTTTTGTAAAGCCATCTTAGTAAGAAAACTGAACACTGATATGATAAACTGGGAAAAGACTGAACAAAACAAAAAAATGTGTGCCAACACTTAAATTGCATCGAGAATTCTAAACGTATACTTCTATGCTACTGTAAACATTTTTATGATTTTGCTGTTGAATTGCATATGGCGTAAGCGGAAAGAAAATGATGCTTAATAACAAAGCTAAAAAGACATGAAAAAAGAATAGTAGGAAACAGCAGAGTGGTAGACTTCGAACTCAGCGAGAACTTAAAAGACCCTTTTGAAGGACAGTTAAAAAATTTGAAACTTTTCAGACTTTTTTATAGTTTTTATTACTACTCCTAAATTAACAAAAGAGCAATTAAACATTTGTGATTATGCATACATAATTATAAAAATAATAATAACTAAAACGATCGAATAATATCACATTTATTGTAATCAGTGCGATATATGTTTCTTTTATCTTTCACTTAATTTTTCAAGTTGATCTCCTTACTTGCATTTGCCTATCGTAACTGTTGTTGCAGATTTTCGTCAGTTTAAGATATCCGTGATTTATTTTTAGTGAATTTAATTTTAAAAAAAAGATTCACAGACATGAATTAATTCAAAAGCACACACAATGTTCTGTGTTAGATTTTCTCAAATGAAAAAAAAATCTTTTGCTATATAAGTGTTATGAAAATCAGTTTTTGATTCTGACGTTTGAAAAATACTTTCCAATTCATCACTGCACTGGAAATGATTTAATTCCATTTGGAGATTTTCTGGAGCCGACTTGATGTCAAACTAAAACAGAGTTGAACATAGTTCAAGTAGTATATCATATTTGTCAAACTGCTGAATAGACTATCAAAAGCAGTTATAAACTTTCTTATTTCTTTGACATATTTGGAATTATTGTCACATTCTGTATTTTTAAAGTCTTTCAATAAACTCTTACAGAATTGTTAAAGCGGAAAATGTTGAAATTTATTATTTTTAATTGCGATTCAAATAACAATAATTTCTTCTGAAATGCTTTGATCTAGTTAAAAATATCGGTTATTAATTTATCTTACCTTTTAAAGATATTATTACGAATTTTATATAATGTAACATCCACTTCAAGAAATGCGAAACTTTACCGAAAAAATAAGATTACAGTGACAAGTCTATTGAACATTGAAGAAAATGGCTATCTCGTTATACTAGCGAGACTAGGTTTTATTTCTTAATGTCTTTTCGCATTGTTTTCTTTAAATACAGAGACAGTTTCGTGACAAATTATGAACATTAATTTGGAGTTTTGAGTAATAAAACGAGTATTCTCTTCCTACTGTCTGTTTTCATCAGTAAATTTGCTTTTCTTTGTATTGATACTGAAAATTTTCTGTATTGAAGATACCGAGCATGTACAGCCCTGTTTATATCCGAACGTTGGCACTTTATGCCTGTGTCAGCAAGAAATTTATCTCGCTATTATAGGCACCTCATATAACCCCGATATGGGGCTACCTCGTATATCTTTCGTTGCAGAATATAGCCTTACAGAGAAATGCAGTTTGTTATTACTTTTGCAATTATTACAACTCCCAGCGTACTTATATTGACAGTTACCACGACCGTCCATGTTGTTCTTACCCAGAGGACTGGAATGGATTTCTTAATTTTAGCTATATTAACAGATAAAATTATGAATTTCGAGAACTCCGCTGCGGGCTGCAAAGTTTTACAGGATATGCCGCATGTGGCCCACGGGTTGGCCATCTCTGGCCATTTAAAAAGTTAGGGGAAACTTTAACCATAGTCTTACTGTAGTCCATGTATTTTAACAAAGTTAATGATAGCTTTACCGATGGTTCTACCATTAAACCAGTTAAGGACAAAAATAGTTTACAAGCAACCTTTCGCCATGAATTAAAAGGCCGAAACTTGAAGCCATAGTTATTTATCATCATGCAAGGAACTAAAGTGCAGTTCGCACTTCAGCACTAGTCATCCCAGTGGAGAGTCTCGATTATTATATATTCTAGGAACGCTATACTTAAAGAAACTATTAAACACACATAAATAAGTATAAAGTTCCAACTTCCTTCATAATAAAAAAGGCTTACAAAAGCTGCAGGACATAATGCATCTCTTTTCGGACAAAGGATGGACTTCACAAGTAGATAGAGAATTAACTGACTCATCGTAATGTCTTTATGATTACTATAAGAATGAGTTAGTTCTCAAAGATTGTAAAATAATTATTTCTATTGTTCAAGTAAGCTGTTCAGCTACTATTCTGCAGAATAACTGCTAGTGCAGAGGTGCTTATGCCCACCGAGATAAGAAGCTAATCAGGAAGTTTTTCCATAAATATTAAATTAGACGGATGAAAACGAGATATTACTTAGTCTTACAGCTTTAAAAGGTTTTTTTAATTATTTTTTTTTACCATAACGTTATAAAATATCAGTAAGTGACATTTTGTTGTACAAATCTATCCAACCGATACTCAGTTCCAGTCCAAGTATGCATCAAAACTGACAGCCAAGCAGGGTTCGTTTTCCCAGTTTGTTCGCCTTTGAACTTTGCAATATTTTTCACCTACGGCACATATACAGTGGAACCTCGAGATACGCGTTTACACCGCGCTTCTGTTTATCTATGACTTCGTTCTTAATTTCAACGGCTATGGCTTCCTTCTTTTTCTTTGCAGCACTATCTGAGGCAGCAATTTTCTTGGGAGGTATCGTAAAATAATTATTTTCACATTAAGACTAAAAGAAAAAAAAAATAACTCACAAGCGTACAAACACGTAGATCAAAGAACACTGAGTGATCTGACTAGAGGATTTTACGAGTCGGATCGGGAAACGCGCCATGCATATCAACAGCCTGGCTCATTGCTCGTTACCCAAGTCAATGCTGGTATTTAGAGACGAATTTTTCGCTCATGCTTTCCTCATATCTTGAATTTCTCGTATATAGGGGTGCTCGTATCTCGAGGTTCCAATGTACTTTGTTTCTACTCCCATCCCACAGAAAGAAAGCAGACAAGTGGTAGTAAGTTATTAAATCATTTCGTCAAATCCATTGAGAAATTCCTGTTTAGATGGTCTCGCATAATTTCGATGAGAACACGCTTCAGATCTCTGTTAACTGGTACATGCACAGAAGTCAGAAACTAAAGAGGCAGAAAATAATTTCATCATATCCAAGTGCTAAACGTTTGAAGATATTACACGTAAATGTCATATAGAATTCTATAAAAAAATCCAGTGTTAAACCTCTTTAGAACTTTTTTTTAGAATCACGAAAATTTTTTTTATAAACTAAATCAGAGATTTTCTATAGAATTCCATAACATTTTAGAATAGCTTCTATAGAGTTATAGATATAATACAGAGATTAATGAAAAAATTCTATAAAATTTGTAGTTTGTAAAAGTCCCATGTATAAAATCTTATACAATGTTTATAGAATCAACTAAAGCAATTCTACTGAAAACATCAGATACAATTCATAGAAGATTGCGCCATAATTCTAAAGAATTCTAAACAAGGTTCCTTGTTTTAATTTCCTGTAAAAGATTCTATGGAAATTTTTAAATATTTTAAAACATTATAAAATCAACAAAAATTGCTTTGGGGATTTAAAAGAATGAATTAAATTTTCATTTTTTAATGGAATTGACCTAAAATTTGAAATGATCTCTAACATTCACCCCGCACGACTGTGGAAGGTCTCTGACAAGCACATGTTAAACATAGTATAACAGAAATTAAAAATTTGCTTTCATTAAAGTTTGAAAATTTTGCAGATTTCTGTAGAATGCACTGTGGCTATACGACTGTGGCAGGTCTCTGACAAGCACATGTTCTGCACTCTAACAAGCACATGTTAAACATAGTATAACAGAAATTAAAAATTTGCTTTAATTAAAGTTTGAAAATTTTGCAGATTTCTATAGAATGCCATTCTATACAGATTTTATAAATTTTCTTTATTATTATGCAAGGAAATATTTTTCCAGAATTCTGTTCTATGAAAGCTTTATCAAATTTCGACAGATTTTTTATTGAAAAACTTTCCTCTGCAGGATTGCTTATAAACCTCTATAATTTTTTTTTTTTTAACTCTATAAAATGTTTTCGTAAGGGTAAGCTTGATGTGAAAAGGATTTATGACAAAACAAGAAATATTTTAAACTTCTGTAGCAGATTTTGCATAGCAGATTCTTATGTTTCGTAACCGTTTTTTCCACAAATATTTTTTTATGTGTAAAGTGGACATGAGTATATTTCAACTAAATAAATTTCCGTACATTTAGAAAATGTAAAGTAATTTTTAAAGCACACTGCATTTTGAGTAAAAAAAGCTCACTGCTCTATTGCAGCTAAAACAGACAATTCTGCATTATTTCACAAATAAAATGTTAAAAATTTAAGCCAAAAGTTTATGCTTCCCCCCTTCTTCTTCTTTTCAGACTGGAACAATAGTAGAAATGAGTATAACAAGAAAATTTAGTTTCCGTAATGAGGGGAACTGGTTCGTATCCACGTTGCACATGGGAAAAACCACGAAAATGACCATCAGGGAGAACATTAATTATGAAAGTTTATTGTGTGGTTAATGTTCCTTTGTCAGAATATACTACGTTTTATAGCACATGTAATAGCATTATAAAACTAAATGATATTAAAAAAACATTGATTTACATATGAAACAGAACAACATGAAATAAAAAGCGTTTTGTTATATGCCTTCATAAAGAGATATAAATTTTTACGCCTAATTCATTCAGTGTAGGTGTAATGATTTTCTAGAACTAACGATTTTACTGATTGCTTAAAAATCATTCCAGTAAAGCGGAATTTTGTATGAATAAGGGTCTAAATAATGAAACTCACCAATTGGAGGAGCTGCAGGCGGTTCTTCCTCAGTGAAATTGCCAACTGCTGGTACTAGAAGAATACAAAAAACTGTTAAGTTTTACCACATAAAATGCTAAAACGAAAAGTGTTTTATTATGATTAAGTTTATCAATAGATGGCGCCACTACCTTCCAAACGCAATCATTTCCACTGATTGCAATATTTGCTATGGTTAAATTTAAAAACAGTGGAAGAAGAAAATTTAATTTTATGAATTTCAAATATTATACAAGGAGATAAAATTGATGATCTGTTTAGGTTCTGAAGGAAAAAAAATTCTCTAGCTAAACTTGTAATGCTTCTACATGATAAAAATGATAAAGTCGTAAAATCAGATCAGGAGTTTAAAAACTAATCTGAAAACAAATGGTTAGAAGTACCATTACTTTAGTCTGAATCAATATTTACACTATTTCTAATAAATTCTTTGAAATATGTGCAGCTAAATTGAGCACTATATAATAAGTATATAATTAGTCTTCATACAAAGAGAACTGCCATAGCATAGAAAACAAATAAATTTATCTTTTAGTTGATAAAAGAATTTAAAATTCCATTTCAGAAGCATTTAAAACTTTAATGTGCGTTTGCCCTTACATTTAAAGACAAACTGAGGTTTATTGAATTGAGGTTTATTACAGGTTATTAAACTGAGGTTCATTATTATTTTTAAAAATAAGAGAGGAAAAAAAAAAAAAAAAAAAAAAAAAAAAAAAAAAAAAAAACCAACTTTCAGCAAATATTTTTGATTAACATAAATTTTGAATTTTTTAAAACTATTATCAGCATTCCTTTATTAATACATTATCAGTACTTTGATGTCGATGTAATATTGGAGATCTAAATACCTTAAAATTTTAGGGCAACACTTTCTTATAATAGAGAGACAGCTTAGTTCATACAGCAAAAGTCAGCTATTTGAACCGCTACCGATTTTGTTACAGCTTATCGATTGCTTGCTAACAAAAAAAGAAACGTTCTGAATTATGTGGAGTCATTTTGAAGGTTTGAAAGTGTGACCATCAACTTGCACCATTACAGGCATGTGGCGTATACATTAAAATAACAGCTCGTCCAATATCGAAGCTAAATCCATCATAGCAGTTCGTTCGTTGTTGCTTGCTGCATGACTTTAAAATGGGTCTGTCAGCAGTCGCCTTAAGTCACTCTATACGTGTGGCATTTGGGAAGGATGCTGTGAACTAGTGTATCACTGATTATAGGTTCAAGAAGTTAAGTGAAAAGATTTGAGCCTTTGTGATGAATCCTGTATGCAAATTGAGTAAGTGGGTGACCCACACATTGCCGGCAGCCAACAACAGCTCGTTTATTTTTGCTGTCTCCGTATACAACATATTTGGTCGAGTGAGCACGAGTGACGGGAAGAGGGTCCAGTATGACAGTGGTCGCAAACACAAATTGCATGCAACTCGCATGAGCGACCTAAAAGCTGCTTATGGGCCAGATTATTTTAACTTCATTTTAAATTAAATTCCGCATAACTAACTAAATTTTAACTTCATTTCAAATTTCACTTACTAAATATTTATCAAAACACACGGACTTTTTCGTTTTGCCGGCGCAAGTGATAAAGTTGCCAATAATGGTACACTGATGCCAAACGGAATATCCTCGCTGGTAACCTTTTACGCCTCATTTTCAAAACAAGTCACATCTATTTCTTATCAGATTGATTGTTTCCTTCAATACTGGCATACAATTACATAGAATTTTTACCAGATAATTCAATTTTAGGCTTCCGCGGTCGGGAATTATCAATTAGATGCAATCCACTGCCACCTGAAGCGAAATAAGAAAAAATCAAGGGTTAATTCATCAATCTATGAGAATGCACTAGCGAAGTAAAGCACTGGTTTTTTACGTAATTCTGAGTAAGCTATTCGTACAAAATTAAATATTCATTCATAACTTTATTCCAAATTAAGATTTAACTTGAATAATGTAGATAAGTACTGAAAATAGATTTTTGGTAAGGAGGGAATTGAGAGGAGAGGGGGCACGTGATATGAACGGCGAATCAGGGGGGAAACCATAAAGCAACTAAATTCTCAAATTAATGGCGCACAAATTTTTGGCTTGTAAAAATTTTAAACGATATTATAAGCTTACGCGCAAAAGAAAAATTCTTAACTAACATTTGTTAACATTTTTTATGTGTATACTGTATGTTGTCGCCAATAAAATCTGTTTGGCGAGATTTGCACCGGCAAAACAGAAAAGCACCAAACACACATAAACAATTATGATAATAACGCAAAGCAAAAAAACTTAAATTTATCTTGATTATTTTCAATCTAACAAATTTCTGTTAGTTAAATTTCGTAATTCAAATGTACTAGCAGCTAAATATCAAATTTTTGGACTAAAATTTATTACAAATAATTGTAGTACGTTGAATTAGCCGCTAAAACAATTTACTTTTAACTTAATAAACAAGTTATGAAAACGTGAGACATTTTCAGGGAAAATTTTCCCGGTGGAACAAAACTTAAGAATAAATGAAAACCTATTCTCTTTCTTTTACAGAATGAAATGTTTTCCACACATGCAGAAAAATGCATGATAGATGCAATCTGAAAATTCACTGAATTTTCTGCTACTAAACTATTCACTTCTGAGAATGTTTTTGGTTATTTTGTTGATTAGTTTGTAAAGTACCGTTTAACTTTCTAAGCCGTTATTTTAAGTTAAAATACATTTCCTTTCCCTGCCAGAATGCAAATTATGCAATTTGTGAAGAATGCAATTTATGTTATTCAATGCCCTTTTGAGTAAAGCCGACAATGTTAGCTTTTCTAAGCACGAGTTGGTACCGACTGTTAAAAATTTTAGTCGAGTTAATATACTTTTCTCCTGATTTTGAAGTACTTTGAAAGACTTGGTGATAATTCGGAAACAGTACGTCGCGAACATGTTACGTTAGCTAAGCACATACGACGTTATAAATTTAAAAGACTGGCATCGAAGCACTGATCCTACCTACAAGAATCGGCGTTTGAAAAATATATTAAATACAATTTTTGTGAAATTGGTCACAAAAATTAACCGACCACATCAACTGAGATCTGGTAAATACAAATGATGAAACCCTGACATGAAATACAACATTTTTAACAAGATGAATTGTTTCGGTTACAATTTTATAATGACGGTTATTGTGTATATTTTCCATAAAAAGTACATTTTAAGGGCTTTTTTTTAATTTCAAAAGAATTTTCAAAGGAATAAAATTTGATCTGTATGCCCAAGGAAAAAAGAAATATTGTTTATTACTTATTAAGTTTCGACTAATTATCACTAACTAATTATTAAGTCCATTTAAAAATTAAAATCACATACTTCAGGCAAAATTCTGCCTTCATTATTATGTTAAATTCAAAATAAAAAGTGTAAATTATTTCGAAAGACAATAAGATATGTATCATTTTAAATCCCAAGCAGCATATTATCTTCTATATGCATTCAAATTAAGGCACTTAAATGTATGACACGCACCGGCAAAATAGTACAAAATTAAAAATAAATAAATAAAACAAAAGGGAAAAAAATTATAAATTTCATTGGTAACTGAGGGAGTGTTTAATTTAAAACATTAACTGATGGATTCTGATAAATACAGATGACTTTAAGCAAATTTAATTCATCAAATTTGTTAATATTACCCACAACTTTTCTTCAACAGATGAACTAAATTTCTTGGTAGCTCAATGTTTATAAGATAAATACTCGATTAACGTAGAGAAATATTAATATTGTAATAGGTAAAGCAATGGGAATTTCTATTCGTCTCAAACGCTTATTTGAAAAATCATCTTATTCCGATCAGGTGAGAAGGAGGTTATATATTTCCATCATAATGTCAATATTAACTTGTGTCTCTCCTGCTCGGAGTATAGCAACTGACACAGATTTCAAACTACTTCAAAATAACATGCTGAGAAAGATTACATGTACTCCCTGGTTTGTACGAAATGAGCTACTACACAAAATCTACAAAGCTGATTACACAAAAGGACTGCATTTATAATATCAACAGCAATTTCCATGATAAAACCATTAAAAATAACAACATCAATTATTCCAAAAATCTGAAGTCAGAAATAATAGATAGTGATTTCGATACCAAATTTATATTATCCACATTATCGGTAACTACGAGGGGGGGGGAAAGGGACGGTTTCCCTATATCTCCCGTTCTACTGGGCCGATTGGCGAACTTCAAATTGCGTTTTTCAAAGCGCAACTTAGAGTATGTATTAGATTTATATATAGCATTGTTCTAATATAGGTATTTTGACATAAAAATTGGACTTTTTCTGAAATAACATGCCAATTGTTTTCCATGTTTCGATTCTACGACTCACATTATGCCAGACTACCGAGTTTTGTAAAAATCGCACGAGCAGTTTTTAAAAAAATTAGCTCTCCAAAGTTTAGTTCGTCCATGTTAATTGAATTTTATATATATTTATTAATATTTCCCTTTTTATTAAACCTTTTTGATTCTTCCTTTCACATTTCGAAATTTAGGTTCATTCCAAATAAAATTCACCCATTTTTTATGATTTATTTTTTAAATTCTTATTTTTAAATAATTTTTATAAATTTTTCGAAAAACATTTTGAATTATGACCTATAAAATTTTTACCATAATCTTGAAGTACATGCATTTCTAAGCACAACTACAAAAATTTCGAGTTTTTATTCAAAATTTCCTTACGTGAATTTACACACTGGCGCGTTTTGAAATTTGGCATATTTGTTAAAAGCGATAATAACGCCAAATGTGGTTTACGCATTTTGTTAAAATTATTTCAAAGTATGAACTTTTTTACGCTCATGTACAACGAAAAAAGAGAAAGGAAAATAGATTGTTATAAATTAAGAAGTTCGCCAAGTGAATTGTTCTTGGCGCAAACTGAAAAAAAAATGCGCCATGATAAATTTTTGAATTTCTCGGTAATTTTCGCACCAAATTTTACAAAATTTAATATTTAGGCATAATTTGAGTCGTAGAATCGAAATAGGGAAAACAAATGTCATTTAAAAAAAAGTCCGAGTTTGTGTCAAAATACCTATATTAGAACAGATCTGTATATAAATTTAATACAGCTATTAAGTCGCGCTTTGGGAGCCATGAAAAACGCAATTTGAGTTTCATCAATCGGCTCGGTAGATATAGAACAGAAGATATAAATCTGTGTCATTTTTTTTCGCAGTGTACATAATTGTACATATTCATAAGCTTTACTCCAGTTTGCTAGCATTTTTTTACCTAGAATTATTTTCTTCTATTTACATTTGTATCCTTATTCACACATGTTTATTTTTTCCATATTATTACAAATCTGATCATCGAGGTAAGGGCGTCAAGACCCCCTTTTGTTTCGTTAAATTGGAACATACAGAGGCAGTTCACATTTTTTGACAATATTCATTGTAGTTACAGAAATATATTACCTAAATCTTTTGTGTTTTAAAAGTTTTTTTTTGGTAACCTGTATTCTTCCTTATCTTTCTGTATTGTGATTTCTAAGATAATAAAGCCTTTTGTAGCATCGGAAGAAGTATTTTATCCCATTCCTTTTGAGCAGTTCTTCAAAGTCTTAGGAGGGTTATCGGTTGACGTTCGGTCAATCTGCTTTTTAAAAATTCAAAAGTGCAAAAATACATTCGTGATAAAACAGGAGATTTAGTAGGGATATGAGTTCTTGTTTCATTTTTTTTCAGGAAATTAACACTGAGTTTTGACCTGCAGCTACTTGCTTTGTCTTAATGCAGCTCTATTGAATGATGGCTCTGTGTGTGAACAGTCGGTATTTAATGTTTAGAAATCAGGTATAAAATATGTTCTTGATAATATGAGGACTTCATCTTAACATATTTCTCCACTCTCTTTATTTTTAATTTGCCGTTATATAAAAAACCAGCAACAATCATAATCCCCTCCAAAAACTTTCTTTAGATTCTTTGAATCACGTTTTAAGAATTTTTATTGCAATCATTTAAATACACCCAAGATTCATTTATTTTCCTCTTTTTTGTTCGGATAACTGTTTCATATAAAGAATTTTCGTTGGCGCTATGTCGTAGAGAAGACGAAGAACATTACGTTTTTTTCGCCTTATTAAGATTCATATCAACATTAATCACTTCGTTTACAGTTGACACTCAACATTTTAAGGATTTTCCAACTGTCCTTTGACTTGGTGAATTTCCTTTTACTATTAAAAATCCTACGTCTGCAACATTCGAAACATATCTTCTTTTTCCTTGGATACGTATTTGGAACAATTCTTCCACATGAAGCCAAACTTTGACATCTTTTTCCTTTCTTGTTGGCAATATTACCTATCGTAGCTTTAGATATAGAAAAACCTTTGCTTTCAGGGCGTTTTTTCTAACAGATACGAATAATTTACTTTGGAAGGAGCGCAAACATAGCCTTCCATCCATTGCTTCTTTAAAAGCGCCATTTTGCAGGAAATCAAAACTGTCAAGTAGCAGACGATTACTTATACCTTCAAAAGTAATATTTGCATTTATAAAAAGAATGCAAGTAGACCACGTTAAAATCGTCTAAAAAATAATCGAACAGCTTCTTTTTCACCCAGTTTGTGTTCGTGAGATTTTGTGCCTCACATCTTTAGTTATTTGAAGGCGCTAGCATTAGTGCTAAATGTTTAGTGCCCAAGCTAGATAATTTAAGTATTTAAATATCCATAAAATTTGCTTATGTCACTTCATAAGATATTTCTGAAATCACCTGCCATTCGTAACAACATCTCTATTTAATAATCTTAATTCTAACACTCATTTTCCTAAAAAGTATTTATTTACAAATTAAAAGATTTTCAAGCTTAGGTACAGAATAGAGTTGGGCATAATTGAATTACAACTTTTGACTGATAACTGCAATTGTAATTGCAGTTATCAGATTTTGTCCAAATCTGATGCACAAGTAGAATAATGTGTTTCCAAAGAAACGAGAGAATGCGTAGATTACCACCCTATATTTACTGAATTTTTTCATTTGATATCATTACGGAATAAATCCTGAATTTTAATTCTTTTTAACGTTCAAGCTTGCTTGTATATACTACATACGTTAGTCATTTATTTTGATATGTACAGCACAAGCCATAATTTATAGCATTTTAATTTTTATTTCAAACCTTTCTAACACTACATTTCATATTCAATGCTCCCCTCTTTGTATTACACTGTTTTTTTACAAGTTCATTTTGTCTTTATGCATTATCAATTGCTTCTTTTAACATAAGTGACCAGTGTTTATGTGAAGTTTGATTACAATTACACATTTTAGTGAACAAAAAAAAAAAAAAAAAAAAAAAAAAAAAAAAAAAAGATAAGAATTATATTTTATTCTAAATTAACGTATTTTCTTCGATTGATTTAGATATGTGCATACATATAGGAAAGCATAAAAACATTTTAATGCAGTACCCCCCCCCCCCCCGAAAAAAAAAGTACACAGGGTATGATCAAAATACAGCATGCATTTCAAGACCAAAAGTTTGAAAAATGCATGAGACCATCTAAGTTTTAAAAAAAAATATTAAATATTAACCGAAACGAAAAAAGAAAAAATAACCTCGGTTTCAAACATACCCGAATCGAAACTGACTTCTGAAATGAGGAGCCACCTGGCGGCAAAATGCAGTTCCACTTTGAGTACCCTGCCGATTCCATGATGTAAAAAAATAGTGACGTTTCGAGAGCGTTCGAAAAATAAATCGGGCATATAAGAGAACTGAACGGCCTGGTTTTGGAAGTAACGACCCCCGACGCTGAACCAGATCTTGGCCGAGGAGAAAACCTGGAACATAAGAAAATTTCAAACATCAGCATAAAATCTTCCATACAGCAAAACTGAGGGAAGTTTCTGCTTTTCTTTATATTTTTTTAGTAAAATTTGTTTTTATTAAGCTTTTTTTTATGTTTTTATTCGCAAAAGAAAGGGTCAATCGTAAAGTGTCTGGAAGAAGAAATGCCTTCTTTAACGAAGGATCGTAGTGAATTTATAAACCTATTTATAATATAGTAAGACATTTTTGCACAATAAGTGGAGGCAATTGAAAAATTATTTTTTTACAAGATTTTAGCAGACAGCAGGTTCAAAATACTTATACACAAAATTAGACACAAGTATAAAATACAAACAAAAGCTATTATAGGTATCAAAATGATATAAAGCAAAAGCAATACCGATTTATAAGGAACAAAATTAGTAAATATATCTTAAAAAACACGGAAAACGTTTTTAAGAAATGAACTTTTATTTAAAACTCATAAAATCATTATTGAAATTAAAGGAGGAAATAAAGGATTAATTTATCATACAATTTAATGGGAACAAGAGATTGAGTAATTCTCTTTACAAATTCATCTATATTTATGAACTCCCTTCATAAATTTATAAAGATAATGGCTTGTACTTTTGAAAATGCATTTCGATTTATAGATGAATTTAGTAAAGAGAATTACTTAATTTATTGTTCGTATTAACTATATGATACATTATTTTTTTCCTTTTAATTCATTAACTGTTTTAGAAGTTTTAAACGAACTTATTTCTTAAAAAAACTTTTTTTTTATATTTTTAATTTTATCCTTTTATTCTCAATGACATGCTAGCAATCAAATTTTCCAATTAAAATTTTTTTTTCTCCAGCAATGAAGAAATATACCTATAAAAGCCTGTGGACCACATAAAAAGTTCAATTTTACAAGTTTTATAAAAATGTTTTACATTTTAAAATGCCTATTCAAAAGTAAATTTAGTATTAAAAGGTACGATGTGTGGAATGCGGGGTGTGTTTATGTGGATAGAAGTGCATTTTTGGATTCTGTGGAGTCAGGACTTTTAAAAGTTTGGCGTGTCCAAATGCTAGCTGATATGAAACTAGGACTAAGCTAGGACTAATTGTATTTCTGAACAATTGACTAGGGACTCAACTGTATTCTGATAGACTTGTGTGGGTTTGCAGTCAAAAGGTTGCTGGTAAAGTATGTGGCTGTCAGCGGAGTTTAAGATTTGGATCGTGGTGTTCGTGTAGTCACAGAAAGACATGTGATATAGCAAAATCGTGGCACTTTTGTTCACAGACTTTGTGTGACTGGCGAAATTTTATTCACGTATGTATTATGGTAAGTGCATTTTATTTTATTGTTTTTATTTTGTAGAATGTTATGTTCATTGCTTTTTAACTATGAATTTCTGTTGTTATTTGAATAATTTGTAATTTATTTTAGTTTATTTTATTGATTTGTGCGCAATGCCTTGATTGTGCAATTCGTAGATGTTTGTTTAAGTTTAAACAGAACGCTGTGTACATGGTATTCGTTGAAATTTATTGTTGTTATGTTAATTTATTAAAGCGAAGTGTGCGTAGTTCGTAGATTCTTTCGCTGCCTAGATTGTGCAATTCGTAGATGTTTTTTGAAGTTAAAACATATCGCTGTGTACATGGATTCTTGTCAAGTATTTTTGGTTAGAAACTTTACGTTTTTGCTATCTAAATTTTTTGTTTTTGTTTCGGATTTTTAGCTTAAATTGTGTGCTCAAAACGTGGTTTTTGCATGTGCGAAAACCGCGTTTTAGGAGACATTTTAGGCTTAAAGTTTGAAATGTAGACAAGAAATTTAGATAGTAATATGGCACCATGGAGTGTCACCAAGCGAGGGCGTATATAAGAGTAGTTCCTTTTTTTTTACCTGTATATGCAGCGTCATTAATGTGCGTCTGTCGATTATTTAATTAAATAGAGTCATCTGTTCCTTCAAAATTCCACCGGAACGTTTAATGCAAGTTTGGCAGGATCTAAGCCAACTTTCACGGTCAACGGCAGTTAACATTCATGGTTGACGAGAAAGTGCATAAGGGCGTATTAAACAGATCTTACCATTTAAATTACTATAAAATAGCTTACAAATTTTACAAAAAAAAATATTTTTTTAAAAACTTGCCTGTACATCCCTGGAATGCATATTATTACAGTAGAAATAGACTGCAGAAAAATTTCGCACCACATCGAAGGTAAAAATAATTTCTATAGGTCGGGTTTCAGATCCAGAGAGAACATCGACCGACAAAGTGCTGATGCCACCGCTGTCATTTTTCCATCCAACCCATTCGTAACCTATTAGATTAAATGGAAAAAAGAGGGTGTTTTAGTCGATAATTGTTTTTAATCACAACGGTGCTACATAATGATTCTACATTTTTCAGCCAGAACAATATAGAATTCAGGTGCAAATTCTTGAGAAAGCTATATATTGTTGGCAGGAAAAATATACTGCTCCCTCTGTAAAAGAAAAGGAAACCCATAACTATATTAAGAATAGCTTAAATATATTTCATTATGGCCAGCGCTAGGCATTTTGTATCCCAGTTCTATCTCTTCGGGCTCTAATTTCTGCTTTCCGGTGCTTCCCTAAATTATAAAAATTTTACCGCTTCCAAATTCTGCTGCCTAGTACTATTTACTTTAAATTCTACTAAATAAATTCTAAAAATTGTGCAATCCTTAAATTTTGCTGTTCGGGGTCCCTGGAAATTCTGAAATTTTTGCTGCCCCTAAATTCTGTCGTCCAGAGAGCTGCATAGGTCGTGTTGGCTCTGTCACAGGCCCTATTTTTCATAGAACATCGAACAGCTACTATTTAATGCCACGATTCAAATGAAGAAATCTTGCATACCACCTGTTCATGTCGGATTGGACAATAGAGAGATTGCCAATGAACAAGTTCAGCTAGACAAGAATTTCAATAAGCACCCTATAGAGTCGTTAGGTGATTTTGATGCAGGAGACGTGAAAAATGTGCAATACCCTCGCCAGAGCTCTCGAATTAGCGTCGAGTATGCTTCCAATTACACCACGAGGACATGCGGAAGGGAGGGAGAAAATACTTTGTAACCTAACAAAATCTTGTTGTGCTAAGTTAAGCCCAAGATTATTTTCCAAAGAAAATTCGGCACTCTGCCATTAAATACAACAGCAGATTATGCTTCGTCGTCAAGAATGAAAAGTTGCCAAATGTTTTGGCTAGTTTTGCGCCTAATCAAAATGATATAACTCACGTAGTTAGTTCTAAAATAAAAGAATAATTGCCATTCGGGAAGAAGCAACAACAAACAAATGCAATATATTATTATCTCTTCGTATTGTTTTGATAAAGCAGTTCCGGCGTATTAAATTCACAAAAGAATAGCGTAACACACCAGTGATTAAAATTATTTAATTTGTAACAAATTAAAATATATAACTTACATGATATTCGGTATGATATAATTGTAATATATTACATATAATAATATCAAATGTTAAAATCATTAAAATAGAAAAAAGAACAAATTTATTTCTAAATGGCAGCAGACTATATTTTTTTAGCTCAGTTAAAAATACAAGGTGTTCGAAATGCCATTTATTAATTCAACTAGTGGTGAATTTATAAATTCACCACTAGAATTTATGAAAGTATTATAAAACGTGGGATTGAAAACAATATCAAAATTAACTAAAGTTAGAATTATTAATAGTACATATATACAGTGTCTCACAAAAGTGATGGGACACTTGTGTTTTACAAAAGGAAACTATAGTAAAATAAATTAAAAAAACATGTAAAAATTTTTTGTGGGTGTGTTTCATACTTAAATTTTGTAACAATTATTACATAACATACATTTTCTCAAAATATTAAAATATTAATTTAATAAAAATACAATTGTTTAGAACGGAGCCAAAAATGGCTCACATAAGTGATGGGACACTTACTTTTCCATCAAATATTTATCCAAAAATTTTACTTTTTAAAAGGTTTTTATATTTTTTTGGATTTCCTTTTACTTTTAAAACATGATTTAATCTTCTTGAGATGGATTCGACTAATTTTTTTGTGATTTCTGGCGTGATTTTACCCCATTTTTCTTGAAGCACCGATTTTAATTGTTGTTTTGGAGAAATTGTGTGTTTGCGAATTCTTGCCAAATATTCTCTATGGGATTTAAGTCTGGAGATTGTGGTGGTGTTTTTATTATTTCAGGACAGGTATACAGCAGCCAGAGTCTAACGTTTAAAGCAGTGTGCGTGGGGTCATTGTCCTGGTAGAATTTAAAATCGTTATGAAGGTTCAATTTTCGCGCTGAAGATTTCAAATTTTGATTTAAAATGTCAATATACTTGTACTGATCCATTATACTGTCAATAAAAAAAAAGAGTACCAACTCCAGCGAACGACATACACCCTCATACAATAACTCCTCCTCCACCATGTTTTACTGTTGGCACCAAGTTCTGTTTTCGAAATTCTTCCCTGGGTTTTCTTCACACCAAGATTCTACTGTCAGAACCAAATATATTAAATTTACTCTCATCAGGAAATATAACTTCCTTCCAGTAATCAGAATTCTTATTTATGTTGGATTCTGCGAAAGCCAGTCTGAGTTTTCTATTCTTTTCACTTACGAAGAATTTTTTCCTGGCTACTCTACCGTGATATCTAGCCAATCGAATTACTCTTCTAATAGTCTCAGGATTAACAATTACTCCATATAATGCTTGTAAATCAGCAGTAACTTTAGGAGCACTCATTCTTGGATTTTTTTTAATACGATTAATAATTAATTTTTTTAATTCGAACGATAATTCGCTTTATTCCATTAGATAGCTTTGATGGTCGGCCAGGTCTTCTTTTATCCTGAATCATATGATTCTTTTTATATCGTTTAATGATATTGAAAACTGTTGAATGACTCAAGTTAACTGTTTCAGCAGTTTCTCTAATAGATTTTCCACATTCAATATGCAAATTAATAACTAATTTTCGAATTTCAGGCAAAGTTTCTTTTCGTTTAGCATCATGGCTGCAGTAACAAAAATTCCAGACAAACAAAAACAAATTCCAGATTAACAAAAATACAGAGCTAAAAAACCCAAAAATTCCAAAACAAACTGGACAGAAATACTGCAGACGATTTTATAAATTATTGCCAATTGCTTTTGAGTAAAAATAAAATCCCCAAAAAATATTTTTATTGTAGTACGTAGTAGTATCTAATGGTGTCCCATCACTTATGTGAGCCTTTTTTTTGCTCCGTTCTAAACAATTGTATTTTTATTAAATTAATATTTTAATATTTTGAGAAAATGTATGTTATGTAAATAATTGTTACTAAATTTAAGTATGAAACACACCCACAAAAAATTTTTACATGTTTTTTTTTTATTTATTTTATTACAGTTTCCTTTTGTAAAGCACAAGTGTCCCATCACTTTTGTAAGACACTTTATGAGCTGATATGCAAATAAAAATTAAAGACCTTCTTTCTCAAGATATGGCACCAGTAGTTTATGAACATGAGGCTTTGAAAAGAATAGCTTTTTCACAAATTACAAAATATGGCAACTTCTATCGCTTAGCAAGAAAACATCTTTTTTATGTGTTGTTAACGAGAAAATGTGGAATATTAAATAAAAAAGAAACTGCAAATCTCTGAAATCAACAAATAACAGGCATTATTCAAACTAGTACGTGATATATACATCTTCAGAAAATGAGAATGAATAATATGGCGCGAGAACATACACTAATTACAGGAATTGTCGTCTTACTGAACTTATCTCAAAATATATCTGCTCGTGCCTGGCAATACTAGCATTGTTTTAGGAATACAGCCAAGTCTTTCTAAAGGGATGCTCTCAAGACTAGCTTTATGTTAAAAATATTTTCTAAATTTCTAAAGCAGAATTCGCAGCTCATAGTCGAGTCAATTCTTCGCTAAACACATTAACTAATTAACCATTCTAACGTCACTAAATTGACACATGAATTTTACAGAATCATTTACTAGCTGAAGATTATACTTTATAAATCCGATAGTTCATGCAATACAATGCTGTACGAAAATGTATCGAATATCGATTGTAGCGAATATCGATTTTTATGTTCTTCATTGCGTGTAGAACGTATTGATTAATTTAGAATCTACTGTTTAAATATTTTTGTTAATTCAAAAGAGACTTCCACCTGAGAACTCTAAGAATTTTATTCAAAGCAGAATTAAAAAAGATTTTATTAATGAGGCACTTAGTCATAGAATAACTGTAGCTTAGAATAAACTTATGAATGCTATAAGTTGTCCAGTTTCGATATCTGTACATATACATGAAGGGAGAAACCACTAAACATCACGTAATTAATATAGTTTGAATAAAATTCTTTCAGAAATGTACTGTCAGGTAAACTGTCACTCTGCAAATATAAAATAATGCTCATGAAATTGCACAGAAACACAGTCATAGTAAAACCAAGAAGTTTATCTAATTTGTAAAATCGAATATTGAGTTTTAGTGATAGTCTGTTTCATAACATACTTATCTATAAAAGGTTTGATGATTCGAGATATTACACAATATTGAAGTTGACGAAGTTTATTTATAGCGTATTACCCCAAACTTTCAAATCAATTTATCAGCATTCTATATGTCAGAAAATGTGGCCGATATTCTAGAACTTACCTTTACCGAATCCTTTTGTGTCGATCCTGAAGTTGTCCTCGCCCCTTTGTCCGTCCGTAAGCTGGCCGAGGCCCCCATGCAGGTAACTGTCGTCCTTAATGCCATCGTAGATCTTATCGGATAAGTTAATATCCACCCCGCGGCGCTCTCCCTGTGGCATGGCGTAGGATACCAATCCATCTAGTTTCAAACAAAGGAATAATGTCAGAGTGTGATTCAGCTGAAGAAAACTTTAATATTTTGTTATGATGAGGTAAGAGGGTTAAAAAAAATTGAAGGAGGTCTTATCATCGATTTCGTGTATAAAAACATCATTTAACTTGAAAATTTATGAATAATTTTCGGAAAATAAAATTGTCACGAAAAAGAATGTTTACATGTCATGTTCATTTAAAGTTTTTCGGGTAACAGCATAAAATTTAAAAAAAAAAAAAAAAAAGTGAAATTTGATGATAAGGTTGTAGAGACATTTAAATTTTTTTTTTGGAAAAGCCGGAGAGATGAAAAATTAGCAACAGCCTTCGCCGGAAATCGAACCACGGACCTCTGGAATACCGGCCTAGCTTGCAGAACCACTACACCACGAAGGCACGCTAGAAGAGTGGGAGAAATACCTTATAAGGTAAAATAAGAAAACGCGCTGAAAAATCTCAACAGCTAATCAACGCTATTAGATATGAGGACCAGCCAGTCCGAGTTCATGGTTCAGGTTAATTTTGCACCTGGAGAAGAGGCCATGGTTTTCATTCATGTTATAAAATAATTCTTCCGCCGTAAGAAACTTTCGCGGTTTTCAGTTTCTCTAATTTCTGGTTGAGAAACATGATGAACTCTTGAAGTCTAGAATTATCTTGGAGTTATATGAGGATGTCCACATGGAACTAGTTAAAAGACGTCAGATAGGAGCTAGTTCAGTGCTTTTAAAGGTTTCTTATTTTTTAACTTTTTGATTTTACGCACACGCACACACATATCCCCCCCCAAAAAAGAAGAAAATAACTTTAGAATATGTAAATGAGGCATCTGTTAAACGCACACGAGAAGAAAAGCGACAGTATGATGTAGCTTTGTAACCCAAATAACTATTTAAATTTTAACAACATATGCAGATTCTTTTGCTCATAGCACGTGCTTATCTACAGTTAGGTTCCGAACAATGATTTGCTGATCAAATATTATTGAAGGTTTGAAGAAAAATAGTAGAGTTTGAAAATTTAACGAGAAAATCGACTAAATTCTATGTCAAAAATAGGTCTACTTGATATTAACCAAATTAACGCGCTTAGGTTTTAACTAAGGCAGACAGTTACTATTGCTCAAGTTCGAATGAGTTTTGATTTCTTCTACGTCTTCTACGTATATGAACAGGATTGCCAAGTCAGGAATCCTAATTATAACCAAAGATGGTGAAAGTATCATAGAAAGGTGAAAGTATCATATCATCATTAGGTGAAAGTATCATAAAAATGAAAACCTTAGCCGATAGATTCTTCCTTATTTGATTATAGATCTAAAACAGCTCAAGGAAACCTTTTATTAGTTGATGAATTGGATGTCCTTGAGGCTTTCTATATCCATAAACATCTTTCTTACTTTAGTCAATCCCTTAACTTCTTATTCGTTTCTTCCTTCAATCTACAAAGAAACCAGTTCTTAATCTAATTCCACTTTCCATCCCTAACTTTTTTCCGTGTGAGTATATTTCTAAGTGAGCAATTTTCCATGTGAGCTTTTTCTATGTGGGCATATTTCCTTGTGGGCTTTTATCCTGTGAGCTTTTATACCTGTGAGCATTATTCTGTGAGCATTTTTCTTGTGGGCATTTTTCCGGTCACCGTTCTTACTGAGGGTAATCTTACAAAAACATACTCAAATTTTACTTTTGTATATAATGCAGTGTAATTTTTGTTTCTTATAGGTATATTGAAGAGAACTCATTTTCTCTGTCAACTAGTTATACTATTCGTATAATAATTAAAAAATTAATAATTAAGTATAATTATGGGAATTAAAATTACAGCAGAACTTCGTTTAGCCGAGAAAAGTGTGATCCTAAACACATTATATAGTCAAAAATTTGGTTAATAGAGACTAACTTTTCAATTATGTCAAATTTTCTTTTGGTATGATTTTCTGAAATTTTTTATTTGAATATGTAAGAACATAATCAATAACATTACTATAAACATTTTAACGAGCTCTTTCATTACTAGGTAAAATTTGCTTTCTTCAATTGAAAAGGTTCACTTGGAAGGTTCGATGTTCGAATCCCAGCGAGGACATTGCTGATTTTTCATGTTTTCTGCTTCGAAATAAACCTAATGACTTATGTATAATTTTTTTTTTTGTTCTGTGGATTTAAGCTAAGAATGATTAGTTTATCACTTAGAACTCGAAAACAAAAATTCGCTATTTTTTATATTATTTATTTACTCCAAAACGTCATTTTTTTAACTTTTGGAATTATGTCTATTAAATTTTGTATGTCATTATTAGTTAGTGCCGCTTTCATCTTGAACACGTCTAAGCCACACTTTTTATAAGTGTCCAGTAGAAAGGTTACTGACCTATCACTGGTAAGAAAGACGAAAAGGGAAAACCACTGATTAAAGAATTTGCAAATGTTACTGATTTACATTAAATCCTTCTTAATATTATTAATTTTTCGCCATACAGTTTCTGGTTGGGTGGGTCTTAACCACCTGGTTAAGACCCACCCAACCAGAAACCTGGTTAAGACCACTGAATCCTCGTAGACCTGGGTTCGATCCCAGGCGAACGGACTAGCTGCATATTTGGCTTTGATGATTTCCCCATGTGTAACTTGAATACAAGTAGTTTCCCTTAGAAAGCTCTTCCCGAAAGCATACCGTCCTTTAGATAGTCCTTGTGTGCTTTGACATATTCAAATAACCTAAAACTAAACCAATAGATTTTCTTTAAACTGATTGCCAGCTCGATTAACAGAGATCTAGTTTGATAGGAGGACGGTTAACAAAAGTTCTACTGTAGTTAAACTCAAGGTTTCTAGACATACATAGTTATACTCTTTCCAACGATCGAGTTTAATGACACTCTTTGACTTACGGAAGTGGTAGAAACGGAGATATAAAAGTGAGTATGACGTCACTAAATTAAAGATACCGGGTCGGAAGGAACTTGTAGTACGGTACAATAATCTTGGTTAAACTAATTTACTGCTAGATTTGGGAGATTCAGTTAAATTACGCACTAAAATAATTTACATTAAATTAAGTAGATTAGTAGATGTACTTCGACTGAGATGAATGATTATAAAGCATCAGAAAATAAGACTATTTAAAAGTTTAAAAAAAAGGAAATTTCTAATTTAGCTTTGCAAATTGTTCCTACTTTTAATAAAATATTTTTTAATTACCATTTAATTATAAATGTTTAATATAAATAAACTTTAATATAACAAAATTTAATATAAATTAACTTTCAGATAAAGCTTAGATTTATAATCTCTTAAAATATGTGAAGGAAATTGTAACATTTTTAGCTTATTCAGAATTCCAAGAACTAATTAAAAATAATTCCAACAGCAATTACATTTCTATAATTTTTAAAATTTAGTTGAGGAAAATGCCAAAACAAAGCATTGCTGTTCCTAGGATTGAGAAAATATCTCGGACAACAAACGAGCAACAGAAACAGAGCGGGCAAATTATGACATCTCTGTTGATTGCTATTTTGTCATACTGAAGAAAACAATAAACACTTTGAAGTTTTGACACGTAGCTTTGCCAATATTTCATCCAGAAGTTCATTTTTCCCAAAAGAAAAGTCCAGAAAATCTTTCTCTGGAAAACATTGCTTTCGAATTAATTGCACTCCGACTTTTAAAGATAAAGTTTCGTTTATCTTTGAAAGCCAAGTCCGAAGAGCATTATTTTTAGCTCGTCTAAGGATATCTGGACTAATTGTTGCATTCATGTTTTAAACATTTTTGTAAGAGAAAGAACTCTTGTTGTTTCAGAAAGTTATTACATACTGCTTGTTATCTCTGTAGAATTAATTGGCAGAAGTTTAATGAGAAACGTTACGTCAGTATTATTATGCTTCAGAAAAGGACGCAAATAAGCTGAACTGTCATGCAAGCAAGGTTTATGCGTATGTGTGGAGTAGGGGAGGCTTAGTGAAAGAGACAGAAAGAGAAAGAAAAATAGCTTTTTAAATCAATATTCAATTTTTAAGTAGAAAGGAAGCATACCAATTTGAAATTTAAATGAATGCAAAATTTATTATTGGGCTTGACGTTGATTTTAACGAAACTCTCTATAAATTTCGAGGTTTTTCTTAAAGCTTCAAACATATGTATTCTGAGAAATTTAAAGCTGTGTGTGGCTACTAGAATATTTGGATACTTAAAATCACATTCAATGATTTTGGATAGGTAATTATAACTTTTATATTTCAATTAAGAACGGAAAATAAAATGAAGAAAAAACATTGCTAGAAGAAGGCGCATAAATTATCATTGAGTTAATAACATAATAAGAACCCTCGAAATCGATTGAGTGTTTTAATATATGTATGCTAAATACAAGGTTGTTATTGCGATTTTGATTGTCACATTGGCGTGTTTCTCTTCTATTCTAACATTATAAGGTATTTCTCTTGTCGTCCTAGTGTGCCTTTGTCGTGTAGTGGTCAGAACACACTGAGCCGGTATTCAGAGGTCCGTGGTTCGATTCCCGGCGAAGGCGATTGCTAATTTTTCACCTCGCCTGCTTTCAAAAAAAAAAAAAAAAAAAAAAAACCCTAATGTCTCTACAACATATGGCATTAAAAACCTTTTAACTACACTAATTGTATAAATGTAGTCCTTAAATTCAACTGGAGCTCACTGCAGCTTATAGTCTGCCTACTTTACAGTAAGTTACGGTAGTAAAATACACATCTCAAAGTCTAAACTACTCTCATCTCATTTATGAATCTCCGCACAAAGAGAATTAGGCTATTTTAGCAAATTAGAGAGTTTGAGCTTATTTCTGAAGCAGTTGTTACTATGGTTACGAGGCCTGGTTTGGGAAAATGGCCTATAACTACGTTACTTCGTTACTTACTACGTTACTACAGATTATAGCTACGTTACTTCTCAGCTTGTCGCCTGGCTGATGCGATGTAGGAGTTAGTTTGCTAACTGCCACACCGATGGGTCCGGATTCGAATCCAGGAGAAGTCATCGATGTTTGAAAGTGTATAGTGTCTGTCGAAATGGAGGCACTCAAAATATACTGCGTATACTGCGAGCCGAAAGTCCTCTCGAGAGGTAATTAATAGGGGAAGAGAGATGACAGGCCCCTGGGCCGCTCCCCCCAGAGTGTTATCCTTCAAAATTGGGGTCGAAGCTTATCGGTTATATAGGTACAGCAATACTTCAATCACCTATGGTACTAGAGAGGCCTAGTTTCTGCTTGTACCTGTACTTCTCAGTTTTGAGATAAATTCTAATTACAGATGGAGACTTAAATAAGATGAGCCAATTTTTGTTATTCAATTATTTATCATTAACTTAATTATTTCTTATATTTTATTTCATTTAAGTTATTAATTATTTTTTACTTATTTATTTTTCACCTTTTTATTTATTTTCTTACATTTTATTTTATTTTAGCTATTTTATTTTGGTTATTTATTTTTTCATCTTTCCCGATGACCTTCTATAGACCTCCTGCATTTCTAGCTTTTGATATTTAGCCCAGTGTAAATATTAACAAAAATTAGCCCTTAATGTATGTAATAAATTACACAAAATATGTTATTAAAAATCATTAAGAACTATATATATATATTTATATATTAAATTGTTCATTTGGTTAAAATGACATATCAGTTTTATAATTTAAAGGATAAATAAAGATATCCTGCACTAAGATTAGAAAGAGCTCACAGAAATGAAAGTTTGTCAGCCGTGTGGATAATTAAAACTGTGATAATGTAGTTGTATGCAAATGGAAAGACGTTTTTAATTTAATTTATATAATTAATAATTAGGGATAACAATTAGTATAATATTATCCATTATTCTGTAATATCCATCTGAGGCTATATGTTAATGTAACATTATAAATTAAATATAATAACACATATACCCTCGAATGGATCCTAAAGAACTTTTTAATGTCAGTATTATATAAAACAAGACAATGGAAGCACAGTATTTCAAGAACATGTAACACAAATCACTGGTATTTAAAGGATATAAATGAAAGTTTAAAACAAATTTCGTATGGTAGTTGTATTAGTCAGATATAACTCTAAACTGATTTCAGAAATGCGATAATCAGAAATAATGCTAAAATCTTATCTAGGAATTACAACAGCCGAAAGGCCACTGTGTGGCAATGGATGTTGGCTAAAAAAACTATAAATAGACCGTTCCCTCTTTAGTGCTCGCAGTTCCTCTTATGCTCGCACACATGAATGAAGGCAGCAAGACACGTCTAGAAAGTTTTCGCTCGACGCCGATTTGGAGCTACAGTTTTCTTCAGCAAGTCCACATGCTTCTTCATATAATAACTCATTTTCATACCTGCTAATCAGATCGATCAAATAGTGCATTTTGTTAAAATACAGCTGACATTTTGTATCCCTATCAAGTTCTATAGTATTCTGCAAGCATGATGTCGAAATTGAATTAGTGACTTTTGCGATGTTTCGAGGTTTCACTTCCTTCAATACCCCGTTCTTCTACGACACACTCACGAATTTCATTACGAGACTGGTGTTATCTAAATTCTTTGTGAACAAATATATATCTAATTTTCTACTACAGCATTAATGTTATGAACAAATATGTGTTTCACAGGTAAAGATATTACGCGTTCTTTTTTGGTGCTATGCGTGGGTGGAACAACATTTATCTTTTAACCAATTTTAGGCTATAAAGGCACACCAGAGTCGAATCTTAATGCTTAGTTCTTTTTGACTTGCTGACGGTAAAATTTTACAACACCCAGCGATAGTGAAGACCGCTGAATACTGGGAGTTAGATACGGGTTCGGTCTGTGGTGAACGGGCTGACTGACTGTTTAGATTTTGTGGCTTTGTCCATGCATTATGTGAATAAAGCCTTCCCTTAAAAAGTCATCCATCTGTTCAGACAAATAGCCATTGTGAACTTTGCCATATTTAAATGCCTAACCGAAACCTAATAACAACCGAAGATAATTTCAAACTGTATCGGAATATGATAATATTCAAAAACGGTTTTAAAATGCTTTCATTTTGTTTGTTGAATATTTCGTGCATTTTAGTTTTGTTTTCTTTCTCTTTTTCTATTCTTTCAGCTTCCTGATGTCAAAATATTAAATTTCTAATCTCATATTATAGGACTTGAAGAAAAGTACGTGATGAAAAATAAATAAATAAAAGTTAGCAGTTTTCCGGAGTACTGAGACATTAAAACATACCTGTCCACATGCATCCATACAGTTCGACCCTCATGCAGATGGTACGCAGGTGAATACTGTAAGGAACAAACCGTACTTTGCTAGCAATAATTGGAGGATCCACAATTCGCTTGACTATCGTGTAGGTATTCGTATTTCCTTGAAAGATCTGGAAAAAAAAAAAAACTTGATTCAAGCATATTTCCATCTGCAAGCCAATAAAAAGAACACAAGTAGATACATGCGAACTACTTATCATATGTTGCATCCAAGGTTCAGAAAGCAGTTTGCATTAGCTCAGTGAATTAAAGAAATATTATATACTAAAATAAAGATACTACCATCAAAACAACTATATAGGTAAGATACAATAACACGCCGAACAAGTATTAATTTAGAAGTCAAACTACAAAAATCAGCGTTATATTTTCAAATTTTCACAGTACTGTGAAATTTTGAAAATTCATTGTAAAGATTTGAAAATATAACGCTGATTTTTGTTGTTTGACTTCTAAATTAACTGTATAGATGTTAAAAAAACACTGTAATTCTTCATCGAGAACCTGGGTCTTCAGATTATTCAACTGATAGGATTATAGCTATCGCACAAAAGAATGTAGAAGAACATCATTTAATTGCTTAAAAATTTGTTAAAATAATACAAAAATATTAAACCTGCTGTTAATGTTAAAATTAAATAAAAAGCCAATTAAAATTAAAACCTAAAACTTCAGGTGTCAGGAATACTAGTTAAAATGCTTAAAACGTTTAATACACACCTGTATGCAACGTTAAGATTTTCCTGGTAATGCCGTATGCCCCTTTTTATTTTCCTATAGCAGAAGTTTTAAATGTTTGAACGCTTTTTTTCCAAACTTATCCAGTTCATTTTTTAATTTTAATTTGAAGACTGTAATAATAGTCTTTTTCATCGTTTCGTTATCAAATCGGAATTATAAAGGCGTAATAAATGATGAAAATTGTTACTAATATATCAAAAACAAGAAAGCTTTGCATGCTAATAAAATACGGACGCTCTGGAAAAATTTTCTCATTATGTAATAATATAAAACGTAGTTATGCAAATAACCTAGCAAATTATTTTAAGGTAATAAATACTAAAACAAGCAAAGTTTCTGCATAGAGATGGAGAACACCTATTGTAATAAAAGTCTGAACAAACATTAGTTTTAAACGTACTCATGCAAATAATCACGCAAATTATTATAAGGTAATAAATGCTATAACAAGCAAATTTTCTGCATAGACCTCCAACTGTAATAAAAGTCTGAACAAACATTAGTTTTCTTTATTAAGTTTTACATAATATATATTCATGCTAAAAAAGCAAGTCTAAAAATATCATAAATTTCAATAATATAAATAAGGAGATGTGTCGCAAGTAACCTATTTTTAACTACATTTTGCCCTAGATTTCATGCTATAAGCAGAAATTAATAATTTATAACAAAATAAAAAATCAATAATACCTAAACCTTTTTGGTTTAAAGAATTTAGTTTTTTAAAGTAACTTTAATTTTTGCATGAGCATGGACTTAAAAATTATATTTTTTAAATCATTAATTTTCACAAAGCGCACAGCAACTCCTATTTGGAACTGCAATCTAAGAAGGATTCCATGGATTAAACTTGCATAGAACCCATATATTCTAGTTACTAAATTTTGTAGTAAATTGTATCTTTCATTGTTCTCTGAATGAGGAGATTTTGAAACTTCAAACACGTCATCCTATTCTGCAAATACGTAGTATAATTTTGCAGACAATCCAAAAGACTATTGTAAGACTTTTCATAGACTTAACACAGCATCATCATATGAAAAATTTTTGCTGTAAACGTATGAGAAAGTTTTTATATAAAACTCAGTTCTTTTAAATATTTATGAACCAAGTATGCTACTTTAGAAACTAATAAACCATAGGCACATTAACGTTAATTAAAGCTTGCGGAAGCAATTATCTTGAACAATTGCTGCTACTAAAATTTTCTTGCATGTAAACCTACCTAATGATAATTAATGTAGACCTAGTTCCTTGTTATCGAAGACTTATTACATTGACTTAAGTCAGATTGTATACGCAGACAAATTGAAACTTAACAACATTATTTAAAATTGCGTAAAAAAACAGCTTTAGCTTGGCGTAGGTTTTGAATAGCAGATTTCGAACACGGTCAGACACAGGTCCCTCTCTTCTTTAGGAGAAAAAAAATTACGAAATAGGAGGGGCGAAAACTGCTTTTATTGAAAGCAATGGAGGCACGAGAGTAACGACCCCTTGAAATCAAAAGACTTTTTATAAAAATCTATGCCATGCTAAGGTTGCTTTTTTTGCTTAGTTTTAAATTGCGCACTGGCAAGTTTCACTTCCACTTGAGCTCTTTATTTGTCCACTTCTGGTGGATTAAGATTAAATACAGCAAGAATGTACAAACAAAAATTTCCATTAACTTATCGACGGTTATTTTAATAAATATTTTAAAAATTAATGCATAACGTGAATACTATGGCATGCAACTAATAAGACTAATGCTAAATTCTTCAATGTAACATAGCGGATACTCGCTGCAATAGGTATACGTTGCAGTTAACCTATCTAGCTTTTAAACTCTCTTTCAGGTGCTCTTGATTTGCACAATCTTCTGGTCTGATCAAATATATGTGAGGTGAACCAAAGAGAAGAAAGGGCAGTTGTTTGCCAAATAAATGTGCAGTGAACCCTTTCGTGATGACCACCACTGAAAGTGGCCATTATTTCTGAGAATATAAAAAAATCTCAGCGTTTAATATTACCTATTCAAAACGGTCAGCTCCCCAGAAGATTAGAATCATCTAGAATAGTGCATGTTCTTCACTGTATTAAATAATAGGTATAACAGAAGCAAGTTAATTAAAAATTTAGACAAAGCTCAGCCTTAGAGTTCTGTTGGTTTTGAATAAAAAGTTCTATGCATATTTGAGAGACCATCTCTTTTTTTTCCCAGGAACGGTACGTTGCGAAGCTCTCTACGGTTTCATTCAGGGGTTCAAAATTTTTTAAATTTTGCGCCGCATAGATAAGAAACAAAGCTATATATACATATATATATTATGTAAATTTAAATCTTATATTAATTATAAAAATTATACTTCCAAAAATAATGTAATGTACCATTATAGGAACATGTATCATAATTTTAAAAACCCTGATTATATATACAGGATAATTTATTCAAAATGGCGACCAGTCCAAAATTACATTTTGCATAACAATATGCAATAAAATAATCTGGTTGTAGTAGTATCATACTAACAATGGACTAAGTCATGTATTAAATATTAAAAATGATTTTAACAATTTTCCAGGAGAAAGCAGCGAGAAATATTAAAGGAATATAAAAACAATAACCCATGGGATCAATATCCCAAACAAATTAGATTACTCTTCGTTAGCCTCGAAAAGAAAAACAATTCCAAGCGAACAACCGTGGGCCGACAGAAACACTAAGTAAACTTTTCCCAGCTGAGAAGTAATCCCCTTCGAAATAAAATGAAATGAAGAGGAGGGGGCGGCTTTTTCCAGAAATCTCCTCTCCTCTCGAAATTGATTACAGGAATCGAAAAAAAGACCTTCGAAAGGCTTAATATAAAGACTATCCGATCCTTTATGCAAATTAGGTAGGAGAGGGGGCAGCGAAGAATTCATTGATTCCTATCTAATTGGATGTAAATGGCTGCGGTCCCTTTTCCAGCTGTGTAGTCGAAGAATTAGGCAAAGACCCCGGAAAGATGCTAGCCGGAAACAGGTCTCGTTCGCTCTCCATGCATGGTCACGTGGTCTCGTTGAGAACCTTTCTGCCAATTGATGGCGAAGAAGCGTCGAGGAAAGTTTTGTTCTCCGGTTTATTAAAAATAAAAGGCATTATTTTAAAAGTAAAATATGTATCTTGTTTCCAGAATCTCATTTCCATCGTTAGCAGTTCGTGCTTAGTTGCTGATGAAGATTTCTCTCCATTCAGCAACTAAGCACGATCCACCAGCGATACGTATTTCAAATGATAGAAACTGACAACCCCGCCGATAGCTTAAAAGTATTTCGCAACGAGGGGTAATCACAAAAACGCATCACCGAAAATACAGGTGAGTTTGGTAAGTTAATTATAAAAATCCATCTCCGAGCGGTTTGCCTAAGAGGCCAGGGCCTGATTATAGCCTAAACCTATGAGGCCTGGGTTTAGTACCCCAGGTTTTGGGAAGCCCCCAATATCATTTTATAATCTTTTATATGATAGTATTGTTTCTTCTCATACATAGAGACAGGAAAAGCATGCATTGAGAGGTCCTGAAAGGCCTCAGACTGTTTCATTGAGACACTGAGGTTGATTTTTTATAAAGCATTTTCAAAAGAGCTTTTTCATATTACTTTGCACTTAAACAACCTAAATATCAAACACAGAAAACCCATTTAAAAATTATGTATCAAACCCGGGACGAGCTGCTACTATTCGAGGCTTTAGCCAATCGGTTATTGTGGAGATTTATAGGAAGATATATAAGAAAAATGCAGTAAACTGCCAAAGTAAATAATTAACTTACCAAAGAAAATTTTGATTAGTGTAGAAAGATTTCAAGAAAATATATTTTTGAACTAATTTAAAACGTATAATTTTGGCCCAAAAAATGGGAAAAGCATTGTCCGCAGACCGGTGCTCATGAATAATGAAAAATATGCGAATTCTCATATGAATTCATGTAATATTCTGAGCTAATTCGTTACTATTAACCCTTTCTAAGATGACTATCTGTGATTTTAATAAGAGATTATAATAAGAAAAGGGAATGTACATGAAGATATACAATTATCTTCATGTACGTTCCCTTTTCTTATTATATATTTTAAATTTAAATTTTTATTTTTTGATTTGTTTTTGCAAAGATTGCATTATATTTCTTATATTTCGTAATTTTCTAATGTTTATTTCAATTACTTTGAGTTCTGTTTCATAATGCCAATTTCCAATGTTTAATTTTTACAAATAGTTTTGAATTAAAGTGCATAAACACGAGGGTGTCGGGGGACAATTACTCGAGTAATTTATCAATTTTAACTCAAAATTGAATTAGCGAAAATCCTTAATCGGAATGAGTTCTTTGGTGCACTGCATTGGTTC